CGACTGTGCATTTGCAGACACGTTTTCGGACGTGCGAGGAGTTAGCCGCAAAGGACAGCAAACGTGCTGCTGTGCAACAAAAGCTCGGCGCTATGCTGGAGACCGAGAGGAAGTTTCAGATGATGCCTGAACCTGAGGATGCCACCGCTACGACTGAAGGCGAGAAATATTTCCTTGTGCAAGGGAATGCCCTTAGCGACCTGCTGTCCACGTGCTGTCGACGTGCTGCCTCGCGACTGGGGTGAAGTTTCAAAGAGGCACCCAGCTTGGACTTGCCACGAAGCTTCAGCTATTATGTGAGAACTGTGGAATAGTTTTGAGCTCATGGAGTTCTTCTCGCTAGAACGAGTCAAAAGCCTTCGACGGGAATACAAGGGCTATTATGGCTGTGAAGCAAATAGGGAAAGGGCAGACTGCTTTCAACGACTTTTGGGCTGCTATGAATGTGTCCCACCGTAGCCTGCACCTTAGAACTTTCCAGAGGCACCTGAAGCAATTCAGAGAACCACGGGAACAGACCCTGGAAAAATTCTACGCAGAATCGGCCTCTGCCATGAGAAAGGCGTACAAGGAGATGGACCCATCTTTCTGCAGGGACATCACAGTGAACTATGATGGGACTTGGTACAAGCGTGGACATACATCCCACATTGGAGTTGGGGCAGCCATAGAGTACCACACAGGCCTTATCTTCGATGCAGTAGTGTTGTCTAATCAGTGCCTCGGCTGCCAGTTAGGGCTGAAGCCCGAGGACACTGGCTACGCAAGTTGGTTGGAGCAGCACATGTGCCAAAAAAAAAAAAAAACACTGATGGGGAAAATGGAGTGGCGGTAACTCACATTCTGTGTCAAAATGCAACCTCCGTTACACAACCATTGTATCCGATAGAGATAGGGCCACACATTCTGCCCTTCAACAAGAGAATGTTTATGGGTTAATCCCTATCGTCAAAAAAGAATGCCTCAACCATGTTCGAAAGAGGATGGGCACAGCTCTGCATAATCTCGTGCAGAAAAGTGAACAGGCTCTAGGAGGGAAGGACAGATTGACGAAAGCACTTATTGATAAGCTGACGGATTATTATGGCTGGTCACTGTGGAACAATTCCAGTGATGTGACTGCAATGCAGCGTGCAGTGATGGCATAATTTTACCACGTCACCTCTACAGACACGGACCCTCACCATGAATTGTGCCCGGAATGTGTGGTGCCGTCATAATGCCAGCAAGGCGAATGATGTGCCCCCTCCAAAGCATACTGACAATCTTCCAGGCTATGTTGCAAAAGCGTTGCTGCCTGTCTATCAGCGCCTTTCACAGGCTTCCTTTCTGCAATGCTGCCTGGGAGCAAAGACACAAAATGCGTCAGAATCGTTCCACTCAGTTTTATGGTCTTGATGCCCAAGGAACAGCATTCATCATTGATAGCTGTGGAGACAGCACTGCATAAGGCAGTTTTGAGGTGCAGCGCCGGCTGCTACAGGGCCACCCAAGAGTTAGCGTCATCGGTAGGGCTCACACCTGGCCACCTAACCAACGAACAGGCTCGGAGAAAGACTCCCTCCGTCTGAAAAAGGCTAAAAAACCGATGCAACACAAGCAGGAAAACCGGCAAATGAAGAGAGTCTCAAAGGACACATCTAGCTATTGTACAGGGTAGTTTTAGGCCTAAATATTTGTTCAAAACTTTTGAAGTCTGTTTTCTAAGAATGGCTTTTTTGGCCAGTGAGGCTGTTTAGTCTAATGATGTCTCTGCAATCGTTCATCTGATTTCTATGAGATTTGCTTTAATATGTACCTTAATAAATAGCCCACCCACTAACAGAGCCGCTTTTTGAGTTTATTGTCTGTAATTTGTGATAAATAATTAGTTTTATTGATAACACCTCAATGGCAAGCACTAAATTTAGTACTATGCTAAAAATTATCAACAAGGAAATTAAAAAAAGGGGCTCTGTAAAAAACCTATGGATCATTTTGATAAATCGCTGTAACTTGGGAACCAGTGCACCTAAATACATGAAATTGTGTGGTTATCCAAATGGCTTTATTATTAGCCTACCCTGAAAATTTCATTAGGGTATCTAACAAACAAAGAAGTTACCCTTCCATGGTAGTGTCCTCCCTTAACGTGCACCCACATCGGATCACACCGGCCTACAGCAAATGCGGCCGCCGCAGCGGAAATTCGATCCCGCTACCTGCGGGCCAGCAGCAGAGTACCTTAGCCACTAGACCACCGCGGCGGGGCTGCTGGTGTAAAGCATGGCTAGTTAAGTTGGATAGTAATTAACTCACAGTAGTTTCGTTGTATTGTTTGGTTGAGAACGCTGACTAAACTGAATATTTTTGCAAATCAATACAATTGGATAGAATGCCGCAGTATCTTGCTACCAGCTCTGTCAGTTAACAGCCTTGATAACCTGTACAAACATCAACTACAATAGACTCTCAGTAAACAGAACCTGAAAGGACGAAAATATGTTCTATTTAAGAGGAGTTCCGTTTACTGAGAGGTGAATATAGGTGCAGAATACAAGCCTGAAACCAAGCATTGCAGAGACAATGGTTCCGTTTAAGCAGAAGTTTCGTTTACTGAGAGTCATATGTATAAGAATTTCACAGACCAACACCTTTCTAATCACAAGCTTTCAGGACAATGCAATAAAGGTTAAGGGTCTTCTTGCAGTAGTATATGTCTGCAACAGTGTGCTTTTACTTGGCAGCCCATTTGCGTGATGTCATGCTTTGCTGGCATTCTATGTGACATTGAAAGAGACCGTGTTTCTCATTAAAGACACTCGAGCAGGTACAGTCGAGCCCGACTATATCGAACCTGCTTATATTGAATTATCCCCTATATCAAACAATTCCTAAACAAGGTAAATTTACATTGAAAATCTAAAACAAAAGTTACTGTTTTATTGAACGAAAATAGCAATGACGTTTGATACATCAAACTCCATGTGCCTCAAAAGTGCCCCAGCAAGTTGGTTTTTCTTCTCAGTGGCGGGAAAAACTGCCAGCGCCACCCTAGAAAAGGTTGGTTAGACCCAGTTGTACACGGGCGAACACCCCCCTGCAAGAAATAATTCTGGCCTACTCGCAGCGCTTACAGCCAATCAGAGGCCATCGTGCTTTCATCGAGGCGCGGAGGCAGTGAAATTGAGCGCCATTTTTTCTTTCTTTATGCTTGTGTGCCTGCAGCTGCCTGTTTTCCTCAAGTCCTCATCCAATGTGGTCTGTGCTGGTGGGGTTGCCTGTTGCGCTCTGAACTGTATTTGTGCGCTGTCGTCATGGCTTGCGATAAGAGGCAGAATTTGCTGTTTGCCGCGAAACTCTAAATCATAAATCGGGTCGAGTGCGGTGAAAAGCAGTCCGATGTCGCCGCCGCGTACGAAATTCCTAGGAGCACCTTCAGTACTATCCTGAAGAACAAGGCAGACATCAGGGCCAAGTCGGACAAAAGTACAGGTGCCCGTAGCGCCCGACGTGTGCGCACTGCTGTGTACGAAGATGTTGAAGCGGCCGTTTACGAGTGGTTTGTGGACGTTCGGTCGCGAAACATTGCGGTGTCCAGCCCTAGGATTGAGCAGAAAGTCAAGGACCTTGCTTTCCTGCTTGGCAGGAACGATTTCCTAGGCGGTTCAGGCTGGCTCAACTGATTCAAAGAACGGCACGGCATTGGCAAAGCTGTTACAAGGAAAAGCAGAGCGGCGGGCCTGTACAGCGTAGAAAAATGGCTCGAGGAAAACTGGCGAGATATCGTAGCAAGATATCAAGCCCAAGATATCTTCAGTGTGAATGAAACCACTCTATTTTGGCAAATGTTGCCAAACAAGACACTTGCGTGTCATAGCGACAAGACTTGCGGCGGCAAGGCAAACAAAGCTCGTGTGTCCGTGCTGTTGGCAGCTAATTTAGATGGATCGAAAAAGCTTCGACCTCTGGTTATCGGGAAAAGCACGGCACCGCGGTGTTTTCGAAATGCGCTGTTGCTTCCAGTTACCTACCGAGCAAACTCAAAAGCGTGGGCGACTGGGGAGCTTTTCGGCAGGTGGCTATTGTCATGAAATGACTATTTGGTAGGCGAAAATTTCAAGGTGTGCCTGCTCATGGACAATTGTTCATCGCAACACTGCAGTACAACCTTCAGCAACATCGAGCTGTATTTTTTGCCCCAAACACTACGTCTGTACTGCAACCACGGGATCAAGGTGTTATACGTGCAATGAAAGCCGGCTATCGGAAGCGCCTGGTGGAGAGGCTGCTACAGAACCTTCGTGTCGGCAGGGAGCTTAAGATCGATTTGCTCGGAGCTATTTATATGTTGAGTAGATCTTGGGCAATGTCACGAAAGAGACCATCCAGAACTGCTTTAGGCATGCCGGCATCCGTATGCCTGGTGATGACACCCCGAATTCCGACGACAGCACTGAAGTCACTGCAGGTGTTTCTGCCGAAGTTTGGAACGAGCTGGCAGAGTTCCCGGGTGCATCAACGGATCGACATTCGACGAGTTCGTCAGTGCGGATGATGATGTCGCCATCACGGGTCAGCTGCAAGATGAGGACTACACTGCAGACGTCGTACCGACCACGAGCCAAAGCGACAGAATAAGGAAATTGATGATGGCCCATTGCCTACATCCTCCAAAGTGATTAGTGCACTTGCGTTGGTCCGGCGCTATTACGTAAATGTGGAAGGTTGCGGCCTCAGCTGCTTCGACTCATTGAACAACGTCGAGGCGTGCGTGCTGTCGCAGGCAGCGAAGTCGATGACCCAGATAAAAATCCGGGACTATTTTGTATTACAGTAGGAGTCGCAAGTAATCCGCCATATTAATAAAGTACTTTTCTTATAATTTATTATGTGCCTTTGTGTCAAATCCTATACCAAGCCTATATAGAATTATGCCATATATTGAACTAACAAACGTTTTTTTGTGAGTTCGATATACGTGGGTTCGACTGTAATCGATTATCTTTTCGTTCTGTCAGGTGTGTCGCCTCGCCTCGCACGCCCAGCCAGAAGCCCCTGCTGGATCACACTCTCCGGCACTTTAAACGGGTCCGTGACGGGCCGTCTGACACCTCTTCGACACCCATGGAGGTGGAGGATTCGTCCGGAGCCGGCACCAAGTCTGAAGGGGGCGGAGGCAGCAATCGCAACGCGGCCGCGGCAGCCGCCCGACGGGCTCGCATCATGGCCCAGATGTCGGCCATGCAGAAAAACTTCATCCGCGAGTACTCGGACCTGTTCAAGGAGGCCACCGAGGCGGAGGTGGCATCGGCCGCGGCCCCTGAGGTGGTGCGGCACACGTGCATCCTGTGCCGTGAAGACGAGGAGCTGTCGCTGAGCGGACGCACCCTGGTACTCTCCGTCCTCGTGCAGCAATCCACCGTGCTCTCTAAGGTAAGCACTAGGAGTGCCGGCGCACTCGCCTTCATTGCAAAAAGGCCACCGACGGTAAAATAAGGATTTAGTGCAGCGTACGTGATAAAAGCATGATAATAAAAAACAGCAGGCTTTTGCATGGGCTGATGGCACTGTGTCAGTGGCACGCCGAAGTACTGTGTGATTTTCACATTCTAGGGTAGCACTAGTGCCTTAGATGGTGTCTAATGGGAATATGTCAGAATGAAAGAGTAGCATGACGAATTTTGTGCTAAATGTACACTTCTACAAGTGCTTGAAGTGCTATCTTTTAAAAACACGGAATTTCCCTTATGTTTCACTGGTTGCTCTTGAGTAATCTACAGAGTGTTTGAATGCTAGAGGGGTACTTAAGGGGAGACGCGGGTCGAAAAGTCGCGGTTTTCCGGAAAATTTTCGCTTTTTTTTTTCCGGCTGAATTGGCATCCTTGGACTATAATCTATTACTTCTGAAAATATCAAGCTGAAATTCGCACGAGAAATTATCAAAAAATGCTTCCAAGTGGGCAGCGGTGACGAGAGAAATGCGCGAAAGTCGCGAAAAAACGGCGAAGTTCGCGTCGTCCTGTCGCGGAAAACGACGCGTTGGCCGCCATTTGCAATCGTGCACGCATGCTGCGAAGGCCGTATCCTTCATAATCCACTAGTAGCCAGTCTCGTGCCTTCACGCAAATAAACAAAAAACGAGAAAAACAAGGCGTACGTCATGCGTTTTGAATATCGCGGCACACAGCGCGAGGCCGCCATTGGACGGCGGTGCGCTCCACACTCCTCCTATCTCTCCGGCAAAAGAGCGAAACCTCGGACGTCGCGATCGAGTTTTTCTGCGTTTCTCTGCATTTTTGCGTCATAGCAAGCCCGAAAAAGTGCAGTTCAGATAATCGAAAGTTCAGAACTCGCCACAAGTATCGAGGGAAACGGCGTCGGACGCTTCGCAAAGCGACAGTGAACGACGATGTCGCCCCCGACCAACGCCCCGACGCTCCGACTTCGGATAGGCCTAACACCGTCACCGAACCCTGCGACAGGGGTTGTGAAATAGCCGCTGCCGTGGAATTCGTCAGTGCATCCCAAAGGAAGATTGGATTCTTCGAGAGTGAACGTAGACCGGTAGATGCTGCTACTGCGAACATGCTGCTTTGCGAAATCGATGCGCTGACTGCACTTGTGGCGGGTGCGCAATGCCCAACCTGCCGCGAACGGAAGCTCGGCGTGCGAGAGGCAGCTGGAAAGCGCAAAGGACTTTCGGCATTCCTCGAACTGTGCTGTCAAAATTCTGATTGCCCTGAATCTGCACTTTCGTTCACGCACACGTCGAGACGTACTGCTTCGGCCGGGGACCAAGGAACGAGCGCTCGTTTTGACAGCGGCAGCTCGCGTGACAGCTTTGCTGTAAACGTGAAGGCAGTTCTGGCAGCACGCGCTATAGGCGCAGGCCACGACCAACTTTCACGATTTTGTGCTATTCTCGGTCTTTCGAGCCCGATGCATCACAAGACATTCAACGGCATTTGCAAGAAGCTCCATGGTGCGGCGATGACGGCAGTGAGCAAAAACTTGCACCAGGCACGAAACATCACGAAGGACGCAGTCGGCGGCAGAGATGTGCCAGTCATGTTTGATGGCACCTGGCAGAAAAGAGGTCATAAAAGCCACAATGGAGTGGGCACAGTCGTGTCCCTGGACACGGGGCTCTGCCTCGATTTTGAAGTTCTTTCGAACTACTGCCATGCTTGCAGTATACACAGGGACCTTGGGGAGGATGAAGAGATATGGCGAGCTTTTCATCTTCCAGTTTGCCAAAAAAACACTGACTGCTCATCCCATGCAATGGAACCTGCGGCAGCTGTCAATATATGGCAGAGGACCTTGTCTTATGAAACTCCACTGCGATTCACCAGCTTCCTAAGTGATGGTGACAGCAAGGCCTACACTGCAGTCTGCGAGGCAAATGTATACTGTGACACCCCCATTGACAAAGAAATGTGCACGAACCACGTTGCAAAGCGCTTGGGAACTGCCCTACGGAAATTGGCAACGCCACTGCCATGAGGCGAAAAACTGAAAGATGCGACAATAATAAAACTACAAACATATTACAAGATCGCCATCACGAGCAACAAGGACAGTGTCCGAAATATGTACACTGCCATATGGGCATCGTATTTTCATTGCTGCTCCAGTGATGGTGCCAGTAGCCACAACTTTTGCCCCGCGGGACCAAATTCATGGTGCAAGCACAAGCGTGCGGAAGCACTGGGGGAGCCTGCGCCACGCCACACCCCACTGTTGACGAAGGCTCAAGGATTGGCAATTATGCCTATCTACAAGCGCCTTACAGAGGAGAAACTCCTTATTCGGTGCCTTCATGGCAAGACACAGAATGCAGCTGAATCGCTGAACAGCAAGATATGGCTGCTATGTCCAAAAACAGAGTTCGCCTCCAGAACAACTGTGGAGACAGCCACCGCTCTTGCTGTACTCTGGTACAACAAAGGCCACAGGGGCTTTGAAGAAGTGCTCGAAGGCATTGGAATTCTCCCCTCACAAGATCTGGCCACACATGGTGACCACTGTGACGTCATGCGCATCAGGAAGATGAACCTGAAGCAAACTGCAGAAGCAAGGGCACACCGTCGCAACACAGCGAAGAGAGCTCGTGTTGAGGACACTGACCGCAAGAGCCGTGAAGGACCAAGCTATGGTGCAGGGGACTTCTAGACACTTGCAGTGCATTCAAGGCAAGGTACTTTTCATTGTGCCCCAATTTGATGCAAAAAGAATGATTTCCTAATAAATGCCAACTTTGCGAACTTTCAAACTTGTTTTTCTCATTTTCATTTTTTCTGACAGTTTCACGTTTTCCGGGCAGCCTTTTAGAAACTTATATTCATTGTATAGTAACGAAACTTGGCACACATATTCTTCAACACATGCAGAATGCAAATATCTACTCTAAATACAATGCCTACCAGCATTACTTGTGAAAATATTACCTTATTGTTTCAAGGGAGATTGAAAATAATAAGTCATTCAATACAATTTTTTTTTCTTGGTTCCAATATTTCTGTGACATATCTATATAGATATTTGCACTTTTCAATCTACCAAGAGTCAAATAAGATCAGACACAGTGCTTTTACTGAAAGTTTAGTACATAAAAGAGTGCCCGCAAAAAATATAACTTTTTGCTATTGTTTATGGCATAACTCAATAGTTATAGCAGCTACACAAAAAATGATTGCATATTTGAAATCTGCATGAAAAACTATACTAATAACAAACTTTTCAAGTCTCTATTACTAGAAATAAAAAAAAAAAAACTTTTTCGAGGAGCGTCTCCCCTTAAGGTATATTCGACTGGTCGCTTCTGCTCCCCAACTCCAAGGTGGATAGATCCAGCACTGCTCGCACTCCGAGGCAGAGCAAAAGCATGCAAGCCAAACGTGAGACTTGGAAGAAAGCTGGTACAGGACGAACCGCAAGACTACAGCGAAAACTCTGGTTTCTGGTCGAAGCCCTGTCGAGGCCTAGTCAAAGTTCCCCACGCTTTGAAGCGAAATTGGTGGGTGCTTGAACGGGGCCAGGAAATGTTCAGATGGGCTGATTACTATTTGCAAGCACGGCTGATGTCATCATCACTGTTGTAGATTTCACCTCCGGTTTTCATATAGGTCATCAGAGGAGATCGCATTAACTTATTTCTTCAGAGAGCTTTTTTTGATTGTTGACGAAATCGCGCAGTGACCAGACGATGCCATAATGTCATATGACGCCACCGCAACCGCCGCGCTGTTCAGGATCACGTGGCTGGTAGCACTCGCACCACTTTGTCAAAACAGCTCAGAGAAGTTCCAAGTAATCATAAAAAACGAGCCATGTGTGATGCGTGCGCTCCCTTTCAACCTGTGAAACACAATGCTGCTCCAGAGAGTGCCTTAGAGTGCTCTGAAAGAACCAGCCGAAGATGCCTGTAGATTCAGGTGATCAGAATCAGTTTCATATTGGGGCGCTCTTTAACAGCCTGTACCAGTGCACAGTATTCTAAATAAATAAACAAAATACATTTTCAAATATTGGAAGATAACCTGCACAATAAAAGTTTTTTTTAATACGAAAACTAAAGTAACATAGCCCTGATATTTCATGAACCAAGTGTTGGCCACCTAAACCTTCAACAGCTCTGGTGCGGCGCAGGATCGGTCGCCGCTGCCGCCTCCCCCACAATGCTCGGGCGGAGAGGACGAGGATGAGTCAAAGAAGGAGTCTAATCTCCAGTACGAGGAAGACCCCACCTGTGCCTACGGGGACCTGCACTGTGGTCCCCACGCCAGCACTTGTGGCCACGTCATGCACGCTCGATGCTGGCAGAAGTTTTTTGAGTCGGTCGTCACCAAGGAGAGACGGCGGCCAGCCAGGTAAGCACTGCTTGAAAATATATTGGCGGGTTTTCAGCAGTTGGTTAGCATCCACGACAAAGTGAGTGAGCGTGAATGGCGAAGGATGCACACTGAAGCCTCTTTAAAACCCACATTTTTGGGATTTTTGCCATTTCAAGCCCGCGTATCCCAAGCGCGACTTGACATCCTTGTCAAGTCGCACTTGTTTGCTCTATCATGTCATAAGGCAAAAACTAGTGCTGGGTTAAGATTGCCAGATTTTGGATATTGCAGTGAAAATTACAGTATCTGGATTTGCTTTGATACGTATTTAACTTTTCTGCAGTTTTGTACTACAGTAGACTATCAGTAAATGGAAATCTGTTAAACGGAACTACTGCTTCAATGGAACTATTGCCTCTGCAATGCTTGGTTTCTGGCTTGTATTCTGCACTCATGTTCACCTCTCAATAAACGAAACTCCTGTTAAATGGAACATATTTTTCCGGTCCCTTCAGGTTCGGTTTACTGAGAGTGTACTGTATTTGGAAAAAACAGATAGGCTTATGTTGCTGCATGTAACCCACCTAAAAAGGCAGTTTAACCGGAGAAGGACTGAAAGCTGGGCCAGTTTGTGACAGTACTTGGACGTATTTTAACTCGGCACACAACTATGCGGACGCAAGGAAAGAAGCTACAAACCGCAGCGCTGCTGTTTGTTCCTTCATCTCTTATGTTCGTGTAGCTGTGCGCTGAGTTTAAAATATGTTCAAGTTTCAGTGGACCCTAGTGCTACTAAGCCATGAAACCACCTCTTCAGAGAAAATGAGCGCTGCCGCAAAGCCACACTTCTATGTCAGGTGTACAGAGGGTCGGACTGTTGTGAGCCGCTATCCCATGTATTTTTTTTATGAAAGTGTGGCCTTCAAACTTTTGACCACATCCATTTACCTGGACTTTGTTTAACCTCTAAAAAAAGTTTCCAGGTACAGTAAAAGCTCGTTAATTCGAACCGCTAGTGGAAGCCGCCTCAGTTTGAATTAACGAAAGTTCGAACTAACGAAAGTGAAGAACAACAATAGTACACTGCGAGTAGGGCATAACAATTGACTTTTTGAAAAAATCTGTGATCCCGGTCTGCCTTCTTTCTTTGAAGGCGACAGCAAGCACTTTTTGCTCTAATGAGCGAATTTGGTGGAAGGCCTCTTCTCCGCCTTCTTTAAAACTTAAGAAAAGACGTGCGGCATTTAATCCGGCCATGACTTCTGCAGCAGAGGGCTGCACTGGTGCTTCGTCCTTCTCCTCATCATCGTCACTGGCAGCCACAGGTTCTGCACTTCTCACCTGACATATTATGTCGCCATCTATGTGTGCACCACACACCACTGCACTTGAGTCCACATCGACGTAGTCCGCAAAGCAGACGTCTTCCAAAACGTCCGCCATGGAGGCGGTGGCACCTTGTTCGAGCACTGGTGGCTCGTCAGCTTGCAGAGCTTCGGTGCTGGAGCCACAGTGGCGAAAACAATTTGCTATCATCTCCTCCTTTTGCTCACAACTTCTTCCTCTAAGGCGTCTTAAATAGTCCTCCTATTTTTTATATAAGTAGATAGCGTCGTTTTTGGTATCCCATGCTTTTTCGCGATATCTTGCTAAGGCAAGAGTCCGGCGTCCACTTCCCGCAGGATATCAGCTTTCTCCTGAAGTGTTTTGGCACGGTATTTGCCGCGGGCTCACGCCATCATGCCGGAGCAGCAGAATCGTGACACACGGAAAGCTACTACAGGCGCTACCGCAACAAACGTTAGCTGAGGCCTTACACCAACACAAAGAATTGCGACAGTCGGAAGCGACTCCCAGCACCAATAACAGAGGTGTACGACGCACGCCCGAGACAGAGACTGCAAAGAAGGCTGGGCGAAGCTACGACGCACCCGTGTGCTGGTCATGCCATCTGTCGTCTAACATCGACAATTACGCAGGCTTTTCAAAGGCTCAGAGATTGGAGCTTAAAAAAAAAACAAATCTTGGAGGTTACGTATGATAGAAAGCGGGCAGCCGTCGGGAGAGAGAGATTGTGGGGAAAGGGGGTGAAGAGTAAGTGGCGCTATTTTCTGCACTCTGGCCTTCGTGCCAGTTTCTTCATTTTTCTCTCCGCTCCCTGTCCACGCCACCTCGTAACTCGGCAGCCGCCCTAATGAGTGACTAGCCAAGCCGCCAGCGCGGTAGCGCGTAGTTCGAATTATCAGCAGCGGAACCAACTCGCGTTTGAATTAATGGGCTTTTTTATTCATAGGCTTGTATGGAGCTTGGCTGGACCATAACTTACTGTTCAAATTATCCGTAATTCCAATTATTGAAGTTTGAATTCACAAGCTTTCACTGTACTTTTGTGAGATTACATAGGCTAAGCACTGCAAACTTGAAAGCATAGTGCTTCTTACTCGTTGCTATTTGAATTTGCTTTTTAAATTTCATATTGAAATATTTGAAGTGGCTGATTATGAGTACAGTGCAGTCCACATATAAGGATACCGAGGAAACCTGAAAATATGATCGTTATAACCGATGATTGTTATATCTGAACTGTCCTAAAAAATTGTCACAGGACGTACCTTTCAATGTTCCAGCCTCGAATACGCCTTTTCCACCCGTGACAGATGATGTCGATTAAAGGCTTAAAAAAAAAAAAACAACTTTATTTTATACTTCGTAGAGCGTTTACGGCTTCAGCGCGATGAAGTAGTCTGATATCCGCAGTTGGTTTCGTGGAAACTTCAGCTTGACAAGCGAGGTTCGCATAGCTTCAAGCTGTTGCGAATACTCTGGCAGCATTTCTCGGGCATGCGTAAAGTCAACTAGCCCGTCGATTGACCCCAGTGCACCTTGCGTGGTCATTGACCAGGCCGGAGAAGCGCTGTGACTGTTGACCTTGTCGTCACTACCGTCACTGCTGCCGTCGCACAACGCCGGCATCTGTCGTGACATCACATCCGCGACAATTGCCGCGTCGGTGAGTTTCTCGCAGCATGAGGCAGCGCCGTCTGCTGTGAGGAAGTCCTCAACTGACGGACACATCTTCTATCGGTGTCACCAGTAGTGATGTGCTACTGGTCAAGCAACACGGCCTTACGCTTTGTCAGCGTCATCTTAGCTGAAGCTTAGCTCTGCCCATGCTGCTCGCGCAATGCGATCACTGAGAAGGACTCCAGTCGTCGCGGGCGGGCAGCTTAGCTTTTCACATTTTTTTTTCGCTCCCTCTATTTTGTTGCGGACACGGTGTTAGTCGTGGGGATCTGCAGCGAGGCTTTGCTTTTTGCATTTATTTTTCATCTCTCTCTGCGCTCTGCATCGCACTAAGCGTGCCGCCACAACTTGCGATGTTTTCTCTAACTTTCAAAATGGCGGCACGCGCCGCCGGCGCTGCAATGGCAGTAAGTAGGAACTCGCCTACGCTAACTTTTGTCTTTTAGCGTTCGTTTCAGTGGAACTTATCCACTTGTTTCAGTTGAACTTGCCGTTTAAAGGACAAAATTCTCATGTTGTATCCGATATGTGGTGGGTAACATATCGTTATATATGGTTTTTTCCCCATAGCCCCAATGCAAAAAAAATGAGCCTGTTAAGTCAGCCCATCGTTATAACCAATATATCGTTATATGTGGTATTGGTACAAGTGGACTGCACTGTAATATTTGTTGTTATTTTTATGCAGAACATTGTCAATGCTCAGTTTTTTAAACCTCCACTGTGGTTCAAATGCACTTGTCGCAAATCCTTAGCAGAGTCAGAGAGTATTCATTAAGTCAAATGTGTTCACTGTTAGCACCTCCTTTGTTTTATCAGTGCCAGCCAGATGTGCCCGATCCAGCTCTTCACCACGCTCTCCTCTGGTCCTTTCCTGCTCTAGCCCATCACCTAGCCTTCGCGAGTGCTTTGCTGTCATGGGGGAGAGAGCCCATCATGTAGTGGCTCATGACGGAAACTCATGTGAAGTAATTTTTTGTGCAGTAGTGTACAGATTTGTCGGGTGGCATTGGATTCTATGTTTTCATAATGTTGGCTGTCACTCTGGCTCTGTAGAACATGCGTTGTTTTGAGCTAGTGTGACGCCGTTCATGGCGCTATGCAGGCAACCAATGAGGATGCGTCACGGTGACGCCTGTGCGTAACTAGCGCTGTGAGGTGGCGGCAGTATTGCTTCCAGCCACAAAAAAAGAGCATGAAGTAAAAAAATCTGACAGACGTACCATATTGGAGCGGGACACACGTGTATCAGCGTCTCCGTGGGAAACTGCTCGGAAGCGCGTGTAATGCAAGTAGCCTTACCTAAAGCCCATACTCCTCCTGTGGCGTCGCATCACGGCCACTCTCTGAACTAAGGTGGACTGATGGCTCTCATTAAAGAGCCCGCGTTTGTGCTGTAATTGAAAGAAATAAAGGAAATGTTGTCTTTGTTATCATAGTGGTTCGTCCTACACCTAGGTACCTTTGGTACATATGATGACATGTCGTCGTATAACTGTGCTTCCGTACTCGTGGTGTGCCTGACACTGCATTGCGCCGCAAAGGGCCTTGCGCCTTTTTCGGCAAGTTTTTCACATCATTTGGGGCGTGTGTGTGCAGGTATGGCCGGCATATCAGCTTCAACGTAGAGAAACGAGAGTTCCTCTGTCCACTGTGCGAGTGCCTGAGCAACGCGGTGGTACCCCTGCTGCCACCGGTATCTGCGCTTGTGCCCTCAGAGTGCCTTGAAAGGGCTGCCCAGGTAGGATGTGAAAACGTGCCTGAAGCCTCTGAACATTCCTAATTCTAGAGCTGTGAATTCAATACAGCTGGGTGTATTGTCCCCTTCAGCGGCAGTAGTTACCTGTGTGTGCTCAACTTGTCTATGCTAGTTGTGCCCACTAGAGGCCGAGGTAGAACAAAATACATTGCTCATTAAAGGAGTATAACCTTCTGCTTAATGAATGCATCTTCAACTTAACTCAGTGTGTAATTTAATCTCAGTGTGACGTATTTAGTCCCTGTAGTTGTTACGTTTGATGGCTCGTTCAGTGCGCTGCATTCCGGAACCGTCAACAGTTTTTTTTTGTTGAAGTTAACGCATCGAAAAACTGATTGCGCTCGCATTATCAGCCTATTTCATTTTTATGATATAAAGAGCTATAATTAGCAGAATAATTAAGTAATTATGTTTTGTGCTAGTTATAGTTAATTACTGAAACTAGCTAAATGACTGATTGTTTAAATTCTTTCTTGGAATGTACTAATTGCCTTGGAATAAGGCTGTGTGGGTTGAACGTATTCGTGGGCAGTGCATTATAATTACAGAGCCTCGAAGGGATATAAATATTGTGTATGTTTCAACACTGAAGAACATCCTTGCAATTGTAAGATGACGAAGAGCGAGGAATAAACAGAGGTAGGCCTTGCAGTGCATTAGCAACATGGTTGCTTTCGCTAGAGATTGTAGGTTTGGGCAGTGGTTTAAATGTTTGAATAAAGCGTAGTGCCGTTTCTCGGACTTGTGTGATTGGCTCATCACGATATCAAGTGATTGTGGCCGCTTTTTTGAAAATCTACTGCAGTTGCAGTTCGCAGTCTGTGCCTTAGCATAGCTGGTGGGCACTCTTCCGCTTTTCTCGTTAACCATCTGTGCAGAAAGCTTGGACAAAAAGTGAGTGGGTGCCTGTTCAGCACAGTGATAGTTTTCTATCTTCTGTGATGCGTGGCAAGCCTAGACCGTAACAGCTCTGCTGTCAAATAAAGGTCTACCCCAGGAAAAAATTAAATGTTCACTGCCACTTTCAAGAGTGTACAGTACACTCTTGTTGTACGGAATCTGAACGAGCCAGCAAAGTGTGTTCCATTTAACAGCATTTTTGTTTACTGAGATATGAACAGGGGGGCAGAATTCAGACATGAAGCTAATCATATTAGAGGAAATAGTTCGAATTAGGCAGCAATTCCTACCTAAGGCATCATGTCTGCCAGGATAAAGCCCTCGCTATAAAATTACGAAGCAGAGGAATTGTCCGAAGGGCTCGTTTCTCGATGTTATACACAACTATTGAAAGCGACAAACAATTTCGTCATGGAAAGCATAGCAGACATTATTCGTGGTTTCTTAGCTGTCTTGTTATGATTCGCCTTAGGCAGCATGCGAGGATTCATTGGTTAGTCACCACGCGTGCGATGATCACGCGCTTCGTGATGCGCTCTGGCAAAAAAGTATGTCCCACACTGACTGCCTGGGCTATGCCTGATGCTGACTAAAACTGCCAGGTATTAAGCACACAAGCTACAAAAAAAAAGCGCGTGGGTAGGTCTATTGTAGCTCAAATGGCATAGCATCAAACGCCTATTACGAAGGTTGTAGGTTCGAATGCCATCGACGGAAAGAGTCATTTTCTTGTCCTTCCTAATTCCTTTCAATTCATACAGTCGACTCCCGGTAATTCGCAGTCGCTTAATTGGAAGTTTCGGTTAATTAGAAATGAGCAAGTGGTCCCATCAGTTTTGCATGCAATCGTATAGAAAAAAATGCTCGATAATTCGAAGTTAAAAACCCATAATATTGGTTAATTAGAAGTTTTTTCAATCGACAGTCTCGTCGCGACCATAATTTTACAGTAAAATGGGGAACTTTTCATATGCCAAAACATCTGCCGGACCGCGCTGGTGTCTTCGCCATCACTACTGTCCGCAGCGCCACAGATCTTGAAGCGGCAATCTTTTTAACGCTGGCGAATCGCATCGGCGGCATCGACTGACTCTTTAGTTGACTTTTGTTGAGACTCGAGTGTGTCACCGCGTCACCTGCGCGCTGGGTTGATTCCACACGTGTTTCCGCGCTTCTGATTTTGAGTGTTGTGGTGGTGACGTACGTTTGATAATGGCAACTCGTGGCCCTTACCGAACGCTAGACCTAGCGACGAAAGTCGAAGTCTTGAAGGAAGTTGACCAGGGAGGCACCGCCAAACAAGACATTGCAAGAAAGTACGGCATTAAGCCTAACACGCTGTCGACTTTCATAAAGAATAAGCGCTCAATATTGGATGCGTTTTAAAGTGAAAAATTCAAGACATCGCGGAAGCTGATGCGCACCGGCGCCTACCCCGAGTTGGAGGAAGCACTGCTGATTTGGATCAGAGAGGCACGAAACAACAAACTTCCTCTCAGTGGTGAAGTCGTCATGGCAAAAGCGTCATCGCTTGCTGAAATGTTGGGCATCAACAACTTCGCTGCTTCGGATGGGTGGCTTACGCGTTTCAAACATCGCCACGACTTGATTTTTAAAAGCGTGTGTGGGGAGAAGGCGTCAGTCGATGAGGAAACGTGCCTGACATGGAAAGCGGGCAAGCTTCGCGAGTACCTCGAAGAATACCAGCCGGCAGACATTTTTAATGCAGACGAGACTGCGCTTTTTTATCGGCTGCTACCGGACAAGACCCTGACATTTAAAGACGACGACTGTTCTGGAGGCAAAAGAAGCAAAGAGAGAGTGTCAGTGCTAGTCGCCGCGAACATGACTGGCACAGAACGGTGTCGCCTGCTTGTGATCGCGAAGGCTGCCAAGCCTAGGTGCTTTAAAGGCGTGAAGACGCTTCTTATGGATTATGCCTCGAACAGAAAGGCGTGGATGACATCCGATATATTTAAGGACTGGATCATCAAACTCGACCGCAAGTTCGCGCAATCAAGCCGTAAGGTGTTGTTCCTTGTGGACCAATGTAGTGCCCACATGAACGTACCTGCCTTGAGTGCCATCCGTCTTGTGTACCTGCCTGCAAACACGACATCCGTGTTGCAGCCCATGAACCAGGGCATAATAAAAAATGTGAAGGTATTGTATAGGCAGCATCTCGTCGAGCGCATGCTTTTGTGCATGGACAACTCGTTGCAATACAAGGTGAGTTTGCTTAGTGCCATCAACATGCTAGCGCGAGCTTGGACCCGCGTGAAAGAAGAAACCATCGCCAATTGTTTCCGGGCCTGTGGTTTCATGGAAAACTCGGGGGATGCTTCTCCTTGTGCGCCAGTGGAAGTGCAAACAAATGAGCTCGACGACGGTAGCTTTCGCGCCGCTCTCGGTGACGTCCGTTTTGACGAGTATGTCGCTGTGGACAGCAACGTCGAAACATGCGGTCCACTAACGGACAGCGAAATCGTGCAGATGGTTCGGCCCCATGACTGCATTCCTGAAAATGACGATGATGACGACGACATCGGAAATGAGCCACCACCGAGGGCTGCCGATGTAGCTGCGGGTCTTGCTCTTGCGCAGCGGTTTTTTGTTGGAGAACACAACGCCGAAGAAGCACTTCGACACGTGTATTCCTTACAAAACTTGCTAGCCGCAGCCAGATTCTGCAAGCAGAAGAAGATGACAGACTATTTTTCCTCAAAACTGTCGCGCTTTTAAACTAATAAAAGTGCCGTTTTTAGTGCTTTTTGCTTAATTCGAAGTTCGTTTAATTCGAAGTTTTTGCGGTTCCCGTGAACTTCGTATTAACGGGAGTCGACTATATAAGAATCATTACAATACAGTTGAAAAACCACAAATCTCCCCTATGCATTTTATTGCTCAATTGTCTGGCGGTTTCAATAGTATAATACAAGAAAACAAGCCCCCCGGACAATTCTCATACTTTCATGAACTGGTGACTACTTTTTCTTGAAGGAACGCTGGCTGCAAAAGTTTTGTTTGCGACCATTAGCAATTTGTAGCTTTGTGTCTGGTAATGCCAAAATTTAATCATAAGTGCTCTAACACATCGTATAAGTAATGCTAGCATCGTTAGATAAGGTTGATTTTGCGTCGCTTCGGAACCCCTGCACCTTACAGCGGGGCAGCGCCTGAGATTATGTGCATTCAAGCGTCCGTGAGGCTGAATACGCCGTTTTCAAGCAGGGTGACCCATGGGTGCTGAAGAATGCAACTACAGTAGACTCTTAGTACTATTGCATTGTGTAATTAATGCTAGAGTTGTTAATTCAAAATGATTTTGTGTCGCTTCGAAAAGCCCACCTAATTACCATAAAAAACTAGTGCCAAAGTACCCTACTGGTAGTGTCAAAGTGGCGTACCATTAGTGCCTTTGTCAGCACTTGAGTTCTCTCATAGATTTGATAGGAATGTAGGGTGCTGTGAGTGACCTGTGCTTACCTACTAATCTTTTGTCCTCTCCCACTGACCTATGCGAGCAGGTTCAGGTCCTTGGCCCAGACCCAGGCTTTGAGGCGTGGCTGCGGGGTGCCCGCCTGGCCCTTGAGAAAGCCACCCTGCTGCGCCGGGAGGGTCCTTCCAGTGAGGGTGAGTGAGAAAGGATCATGTTGTGTAACACAGCATAAACAGCAACGTTGGGGCTGTTGCTCCAAGTGCAGTTTCTCTATAACATTGTTGCAAGCCATGATGAATGGCAAGGAATGCTCCATCAAGTCGATGAAGATGAAGATTCAGTATAGCGCTCGTGTTGTTGTTGCTACTGTGCTATCTTGGCTGAAGGGCTCCCTGAATTCTGTGTACCGTTTGTAAATATACAGTAGACTCTCAGTAAACGGAAATCTGTTAAACGGAACTACTGCTTCAATGGAACTATTTCCTTGGCAATGCTTGGTTTCTGGCTTGTATTCTGCACTCATGTTCACCTCTCAATAAACGAAACTCCTGTTAAATGGAACATATTTTCCTGGCCCCTTCAGGTTCCCTTTACTGAGAGTGTACTGTATATTATTTTTCCTTTTGGTTATTCTTACCAGGCGCCTTGACCAAAATATTGGGAGGGGGGAGAATAACCAAAAAAAAAAAAAGAATGAAATATATTTATCAAAATGTACACGGAGTACATGGAGGCCTTCAGCCAAGATGGCAGAGCAGCAACAACGACGCGAGTGCTATTTGGAACCGTCATCTTCATTGCCTTGATGGAGCATTCCCTGTCGTTCATGAATGTTTGCTTGCTGAGCTAGCTGGTTCATTTCAATGTATGTAACAGCGCACAAAACTAGGAAAGACTGCATGGACAGAGAGCAAAGCGTGCTGACTTCTGTTTTATTCCACTGTAGATACCAGGTATAAATACATGTGCACAGATAGTGGGCAAAGCAAGGAAAATTAAGGAAGGAAAATGCAATCGGCAAGTAAAGCACTAGGTGATACTGAAAAGTCTTAATCACCAAGTTTCTAAGAACCTAAGTGCATCCTTGGCCAGTGCAAGTGATGGCAAGCTGACACATCCCTCTCCCGCATGAGCGATTTCTACTGCCTGAACTGTTTTCCTGACACACTGGTCTTTTTAATGATCACATTTGTTAATGTTATGATCTCAGAGCAAGGAAATCTTTACAGTCGCCGACCGATTTTTTTGGACTCCGAAAATTTGGACTTCAATAATGCACCGTCAGGGTTCCCATAGGGTTAATGCATTTTTTCGGCCGATTTTTCGGACAAATTCGCCCCCGAAAGTTAGTTTTTTCGGACTAAATAGCTTGTTTTGAGTTGTGCCACGAACCTGTAAGGACGCCGCCATGTTGGATTTTTCGCTGGCTTGACTAAGCTTGGTGACTTATTTTTAAAATGACTTTCCTGCCTCCAAGATTGGAAAGGGAACGTCATATATCAAGTTTCGGAGGCTGAGTCGCACCGGACCATTTTTTCGTCTTCGGTCAGCACAGTGGTGAGCACTATCGTCGTCGCACCGTACGGGGAGGAGGCGGAGTAAAGATAATTTTTTGCAGCAGTTGCTGCTTGCCAGCTTGTTTCAGTCGCCATTTAGCACGTGTTCTGTCGGGTCGCATCGAGACTGTGTGCTTCGCGGCGGCTATCTGCGTCATCAAATTTTGTGTGCTCGAGCTGGACGCCATGGCTCCGCTATTCGTACCATCGCGAGAGCTATGTGGTGCGAAAAAGCGCAGGAACTATATGACTATGACGTTCGAGAAGAAAGCTGCAATTATCAAGTTAGTAGAGAGTGGACGGTCCCAGCTTGATGTTTCCAAAGAATACCACCTATCAAAGCAAACGGTATCCGGCTATATCGAAAACCGAATGAAGATTTTGACAGCATTTTAGAATTCATACAACAAGAGCCAGAAAACTGACAGCAAAGGCGTTCATCCAGCCCTTGAAGACGCTCTGCAGTTGTGGTTATGAGGAGTGTTGGCAAAGAACCTGCTCGTGTCGGGAGATTTGTTGAAAGAAAAAGCCGACTTGTTCGCACTCAAAACGGCCATTGAGGATTTTAAATTCACTGATGGATGGCTCCGCGGCTTCAAGAAGAGGTATGGAATTCCGTTCGAGAATGTGAGCGGTGAAAGCGGAGTGGTCGACCAGACCGTTGTGTTTGATTACCGTGTCATGAAGTTGAGATCCTTGCTTAAAGAATACGTTCTTTCGGACTCCTTCAACTGCAATGAGACAGGACTGTTCTTTAAGATGCTCCCGGACCGTACGCTAGCATTTTCAGGAGAATCAGGCTCTGGCTTAGCAAGGAGCGCTTAACAGTGATGGTAGGTGTGAATGCAGAAAGACTGCCTCTTTGTAATCAGGAAGGCGAGTAATCCTAGGTGTTTTAAGGGGGGGCGCGGCAAGTAAAGTGCCGATTTTGGTCAAAATATGCGATTTTCTGATTTATTTTTTTTCGTAATCTTCAGACCTTCAACTTCCTTGTTCTAAAATATTACAGCGAAACGTGCGCTACAAATCCCGCAAATAGTGTTTTTGCCGAGGCTAGTCGCCAAAAAGTGCGAAAAAAAAAAGCCCCTGAAATGGTGTTGTTCACGCCGCACAAACGCGCCAAGTTGTTGACCGTGGGCCGCCATTTTGGTAGCTTTGGAAAGAGGAGAAAGCCGGCTTCCCGATGGTCGCGGTCTCGTATTTCGCCGAGTGAAAATAAAAGCGCGAGGAGCAAGTAAAAAAACGAAAACGAAGAACGGCAATTGGCTGCGCGGGTCACGTGGTAGCAGGCGCGACCTGTTACTGGTCAAAGCTGCGCCGCGCACCTTGGCAACCTTGGAAGCGCGAGCGCATCTGCGGCCGCCGTGTCGAGAATCATCTGGCGTGCGCTTCGTTTTTTGCCAGTTTGCTGTTTTTGTGATAGTTCGCGTGCTTTTTTTACCAAGCTTTGTTACATCGGTGGTCTCTTCTGAGTGCTTGCTCATACTGCGGTGCTATGTTGCCGCAAAAAAAGTTCCGGAGCATCCACAAGTACGGCAAGCGTCGGAAAGCTTGGAACAAAGGGCAGACGACTGCGGCTGCCGTCCCAGTCGCAGTTCCGGACGGAGCATGCTCTTCGAGCGTCACGGAGCCTCTACTCAGACCCTTCGCTGATTGTTGTAAGGCCGAGAGTGTGGAAGGTGCCACATCGTCGTATGTCAGACCGCCGGATGCCGTCGACCGTGATGGACGCTCTCGCGAACCCGATTGCGGTGGCACCGCGTCGGCAGCCGTTGCAACTCCGGGCGTGCGCGCGTCGAACATTCTATCGCGAGTTTCGGCCCAGATTCCGAGCAGTGAAGAAATCGCGCAGCGGGCGCAGACAAGGCGGGATGTTTTGGATGCCGTAGCATCGAAGTCCGCTTCAAAGCGGAAGCTCGAGCTTCTGAACGAAGGCTGCGACGAAAATGACGGCGGTAAGGACTCCACATTCTTCATTGTAAATAAGAAGATGCTGAACGGTCTGCTTTCGTCAGTAAAGTGCAACAAGTGCGACGAAGGGTCGATACGCCTCGAGACTACGCACTGCCTTGGACTCGCGGCGAGGATGGAACTTTTTTGTGACAATTGTGGCAGAGTGAACAGTGCGTGGTCGTCCCCGAGGTGCTCCGGGCAACAAAAAACGAACCCCTTTGAGGTAAACGTGCGTGCTTTGAGGGCTGTGCAGTCAGTTGGCAGGAAACAATCTGCCATAAATGACATTTTTTCTGCGATGGACATTTCGCATCGAGCACTGCACCACAAGTCCTACCAGAGACTGCAAAGGAAGTACAGCCACCCTGCCACCACATCAGCTGCCACCCGCATTGAAGCAGAAAGTGCACAGAAGGTGCATGACATTTACAAGGACCTAGGAGGAGTGCCAGGCAACATTGACGTCATTTACGACGGCACGTGGATGACGAGGGGGCACAGAAGTCATATTGGCGTGGGCTGTGTAATCGAGCTGTACACAGGCTTGGTCTTGGACCACTGTGTCCTGTCCAACTACTGCCAAGGCTGTGCTGTTGGCCCCAAGCCTGGTGACGACAACTATGAGGAGTGGCTTGAGAAACACAAGCCACAGTGCCAAAAGAACACCGATGCTAATGCAGGCCAAATGGAAGTAGAAGCAGCTAGGATCATGTTTGAAAGATCGTTTACCAAGTACAAGCTTCGATACATCAATGTGCTCTGCGACGGTGACAGCCGTACGTACCTTGCCCTCACGCAAGACAAGGTGTATGGCTACATGGTGATTAAGAAACAGGAGTGTGTGAACCATGTGAAAAAAAGAATGGGCACTTCCTTGCGCAACCTTCTTGATGAGCACAAATCCAAAGGCCGAGGAGTGAGCATGGGTGGCAAAGGCCGGCTGACGCAGGGCCTGATAAAGAAGTTGACGAATTATTATGGCTGGGCCATTAAGAGCCACCCCAACGATGTTCCTGGCATGGAGAGGGCCATCATGGCCACTTATTACCATGTAACATCCACAGACCAGGATCCACACCACAACCTGTGCCCAAGTGGGACTGACTCCTGGTGCCCGCACAATCAGGCATTGGCCGAGGGAGAGCCGCTGCCGCCTCACAAACATAAACTGCCCCCTCACGTGCGAGTGGCACTGCTGCCAATCTACAAGCGCCTCTCGAACAAAGAGCTCCTTGAAAGGTGTGCGCAGGGAAAAACCCAGAACGCTGTGGAGAGTATGAACAGCCTCATTTGGTCACTCCAGTCCAAGAGCCAGTTCGCCTCCCTTCGAAGTGTGGAAAGTGCAGTTGCAGATGCAGTCTGCCGTTTCAATGGTGGCTGCAAGAGTGCGCTGCAAGAGATCACTGCTCAACTGGGCTTCAATCCAGGAGAGTGCTCTTTGCGGCGAGCAGCCGAAAAGGATGCCAAAAGGGTAAAGAGGGCTCAAAAAGCGCATTGTTCCACGACAAAGAAGCGCAAAACTGGGTTGCGCTCTACAGAGGCCAAGGCCACAGCATCTCAGGATTACTGCCCAGGAGGATTCTGAGTGTTTTAGCCATGTTGTGAACTTCCAAACAAGAGTGAACTTTCAAAGTCAGTTTTCTCAACTCTTGATTTTCGCCTATGTGCCTTCGCTAGAACATCTGTCATTTTCTAACAAAGACTGATAGAGTCGTTCCGTTTTTTGCACTAGGCTCAGGAGGCCTTTAGCAGTGCAATAAAGCTTTATCTCTCTTCTTACTCATCATTTAAAATTTTTAGAACACATTTTATAATTACTGCGATGTGTGCGCAAAACAACATCCATGTTTTGGAAATTTTATTTATGGTTACAAGAACTAGAAAAATCAACTAATAGCTTCTTTGCACAAGTTGATGCTTTGGGAACATAATAATATGAAAAAATAATTTCATTTAGCAATAATTATCTCTTTAAGTGTGAAGAGCATTAATTAGTATAATTATGCTTGTAACTCAAAAAGTACAAGAGATATTTGAAAACGGTTTTCATATTTGGAATCCTCACAATCATCCACATACACACACCAAATTTCATCACAAACAGTACATTAATAAAAAAATTAGTTTTACTTGCCACGTCCCCCCTTAAGGGGGGACATGGGTCTTGGGGCTCTCTCACTTATTTTTGAACCAAATGTGACAAAAGTTGGCATGCTTACTTAGTTTGTTCTCCAAATTCGAAATATGTAGTTATTTTTTCTATAGTTTCATTAGTTTATTATTTAATTAAGATAAAAATATCTATTGTTCCTACCACAATAAAAAAATAACCACCAGTCTGAAATTTACAAATAGCATAGGGATCAATACTAGAAAGCACAAGCTACACAACATAGGAAACACGTTTTTGATTGGGTCATTATTTTTTACTTCACAGTATTCTAAACTTCATAGCTCTGAATGTGGCCATGGTGTTGTCACACAAAAGACTAATTTAAAAAACTTGTGTCAAGAGAAATCAAAATCTGCTTTCTATGTTTTGTGCTCCAAACATATAGCTTCATGCTGCAAAAAAAATTATTCTGCTATCTGTAATAGTTTTCGATGTATTGTAGGAATTTTCATGCAGGGTGTACAAAATTGCCACTTTGAGAAAATCAAGAAAACAAAGAATTCTAGCATTTTCAACTGTAAAAATGTATGTACTTAGAATTACATAGTCATTAACCTATATATGGATACTAGAAACCCTAAGGAGTGCAATGCTGCAAGCTGATCGATAGTTGAACAAGTACTTCTCAAATTAAAGCACAATAAAGTTCTTTACATGTAATTAAAAACATATTTTTATAATAAAATAAAAAAATGAAGCTGCCCTTTAAAAATAGGCTCTCAGTATTATTTTTTATGCACATTTAGCTACATTGTGCAAAAACAACTACAGCTCTAGTTGTCTTAGGTCCACCGAACAAGCAAAAGAAAGTGGTCAAAATCTGTGCTTCGAGAAAAATGCTGTTAAAGCTTTATTTTGCCGTTCCGTGTGAAAAATATCATGGCGCACATACTTTTAGTCAGTTAATGTGCACAAGGAATGTAATAGGACTGATTGTTTGCTCGAGCGTGTCGTTTCTTCTAGTCCTGTAGCAAGTTGTCACCGTGTGCTCGTCTGCCCCAAGGCCGCTTATCAGTTCGGTGACTGTACTGACGCCAATGTGTGAGGAATGTGCGCGCGTCATCCGCAATTTGTCGAATAACACGGTGATGTTTTCCGGCATGTCCAGAATGAGTTACCTGTGAGTGTCGCGAACCAAACTTGCTCCCTCGCTCATCAATTTCAAGGCTACACGAGTGTCGAGGTGTTAGTTTCCTTTTTCATGTAAGACTGCCACATTTTCGAGCGGAGACCACGACAATGTTGCGAACGCGTCGTTAAAAGCAGTCTACCTGTTGCCAGTAACCTCTATTGCGCGGGCGGCGAGCACGTTCAGCGCGAACGGATTGATTTTCTGTTGTTCGCCGACACGCGGCGTACTCCACGCTGACGACCCATCACGCAGTTCAAGGTCCTTTCGTCAGGCAGGGGGAACCGCGGCATCGGCGCGTTTAGCGATAACAAGGCGCTTCCGTTCCGTCACAACAGAGATTGATATCTCTTGTAGCTTCACTTCTGCTTTTTACTTGCCGTCCTCTAACTGATGAGGCTGCAAAACAGTAACGTTGTCGGCAACTAATGGGCTCGTACGAGAATTAGGCCTACACCGGTGACTCGGCGAATGCAGTTGACCGCGGCGAGTTCGTTATCCTTGTTGTCCTTAGCCATAGCGGAGCTCATTCTGAAGTTCACAGCGAACGAACGATCGCCACACCCGCTTCACAAATTACTGTAGAACGGAACTTCTTTACTGGAGCAGGCATACAGTAGCACCATGACAAAATGGCGCATGTCCGTGCGCGTCTTGATGGTGAGCAGTCGCCGGAAACTCCCCTTGGCCAATCGGATGCCTAGGTTTTGTCACGTGCCCCAAGCAGTCAGTAGAATTGCACGCTAGTGCTTCTCGATGACACGTTTTTGTTGAAAAACCAATGAGCAAGGGGAGCCAGCGGTGGCGGGAAATTGAAGATGAAGAACGACCCTTCCAAACGAGACCAAGATGAACACGATAGCTCGTGTGTAACGGCAACTGTTCAGCGTGGTAAAAGCGCGATTTTCGCGTCAATTTGCACTCACATTCGTCTCACAGAGATGTTATAAATTGATTTTGCGCCAGAAATAATGACGCGAGAAGCTAGAAACTTCTCAGATAGGTACAAAAATAGATACTGATTCCGAAAATGTGGACTACGACAGTAACACCAAGGCGTGGATCACGCAGTCTTCTTTTGAAAAATACCTATGCAAACTTGACCGCAAGTTTGTGCTGCAAGGCCGGAAAGTCATATTTTTTGTTGACAACTGTGGCACGCACAGTAGCGTGTCGCACCTTGAGGCCATTCAGCTGGAATTCTTGTCTAGCACCACAAGCGTGCACCGGCTTGTCGATCAAAGTGCGATCCGAAACATCAAGGCACACTACTGTGCCCGCCTGCTCAGCCGCACCATTTTGTGCCTTGACAATGGGAAGGCCTACAAGGTCGACATTCTGGCCGCCATCTATATGTTGGCCGAAGCTTGGAAGGTGGTGAAAGCAGACACAATTGTACATTGCTTTAGGCATGCTGAGTTCGTTGCCGCCAAAGAGCCCGAGGCGAATGACCTGGACGTAGGCGATCCGGATGGCACCGATGGCGGGGAGGACCTAATGCGTGACCTGCGCAGTGGTGGAGTGAATGTGCTTGCCACGATGACATTTAAGGACTTCGCCCGTGCAGACGATGATATTGTTTTGTGTGCAGAGCCCACAGACGAAGAAATTCTTTGCCAGGTTGTGTCGGAGAACGGCTCAGATGATGACGATCCGAGCCGTAGAGCGGTTCGGCTGATAACGACGAATCGCCCGCAGCCATCGGCGGCGGAGATTGCCACCGCGGTGACGCTTTTGTCTAGCATTTACGGTGACGTCACCTTGGCGCAAATACGGGCAAACCAAATTGCTTCCAAGCGTAGTCTGAGGCAAGGCAGAATCTTGGACTTTTTGAAGCTTGCCTGATGCAATAAGGTTCATATTTTTTACAAAAACGAATTTTTCGGACTGTTCGATTTTTCGGACATTCTTCCGATCCCCACCAGGTCAGAAAAATCGGTCGGCAACTGTATTACCTGCTGTGTCAGCTCACTCAAAGCTTGTGAAGCATAGTATTGTTAACTACTGTTTGTCTAATGCTCTGTGAAAGTCTTGCTAGCACATGCTCCAGGAAAGCGTAGCGCTTCAAAATAGACTGTTATCTGAAACGGGATACCCAGAAACCCCTGTGGTCTCTGTGGCAAAAGGCCTGCTGAAAAAAAACTGATAACATTGAGGCAGGGTGACAGGAATGGCCTTAATTAATTATTTTTAATTTGTCCCGTTTGGCACAGACAAGATGCACCCCCGCCTGCTGCCGCCTCCCCTCAAGGAAGTGCTGGACGCACTTCCGTCCGAATTAGCCAGCCACCTGTCCCGCCTGTACGCCTGCTACAAGGAGCCCTCGCCCGCTAACGCAAGCGGCGGTGGCAACGGCGCAGAGGCGGCCAGTGGACTGCAGTTCCCCGGCACGCTGTCCGAAATGCTCAAGCTTTTCTGCCAGGCCTGCTACATGGTGATTTTTTCTATTAGCACATGTCTGATCGTCGTAGTGAATAGGGGAAATAAAATTAATCACTTTTTCGCTTCACTTGAAGGAGCCCTGCAACACTTATTCAGCATAATTAGAAAAGGCTGATTGGTTGGAACACAATCGAGCGAGTCAGACATGATAGTGCAGTGCATGACCTAGAGTTCAGTTCCCCGAAAATTATTTTTTGTCGTCTGAAAGTGATTCACTCTTATTTATAAAAATGATGCCATATAAGTGCACCATATATTGAAATTGACAACCATTGGTCAATTTTAAGCATCATGGGCAGCATAGTTACGTACAGTGGACCCCCGATTATATGACTTTCAGGAGACCACCCAAAACTGTCGTATAATCGAAAAACTAAGAATACAGTGGACTCCCAATGAACGAAACTCAAGTGAACAGAAAAACCGCATAAACGAAACTATCTAGGCATATGATTGATCTCCTATATATTTAAGGATAAGAAGTTTTGGGTAATCTGAACATTTTTCTTAGCTTACATCAGTTTAATGAAAATAAAAGGAGCAAAATCCATGAAACAGTGCAAGTGGCCACGGCAGTCTAGCAACCATGAAACAAATGCCAAAGTTAGCATAGCCAAGCCAATTCAGCGATTGCAGTAAGTTCGCACATGCTGAGAAGCAATCAAAAACTCGTCATGAACTTGAGGAGACAGCCTTGAGGAACCTATAGCTGAAGTTCAAGATGAGGACCTGTGTTTAAGTGGTAATGAGATGGTGTGTGATCCGGAGCCCATTTCTGTGACTGACAGTGCAACAAGAGATGCTGTCATCCTGTTGCAGCGCTACTTTAAACATGACTGGGGGCACAGAGTTCCTGCCCAGCCTTTCAGCAATGCACTCCTCTTGTGCAAGGAAGTGCTTGAACAAGGCCAAGCAAATTGTTATCACCTCCTTTTTTCCGAGTCAGCAATATTAGGAACATTTTTTTTTCTAATCAACTATAGTATAGTATTGTATACTTCAAAATGTTTTTGTTCAGTCAGCCACAGTTAGTGCTTTGCAAATAAAGTCATATTTCATTCATTTTGTGGACTTTGCTTAAATGAAACTTCTCATAAATGGAACAAAATCATAAATGGAACATAAATGAAACTCAGCCTTGCCCCTCCAAAAAATGGGTATAGACCGCCTAAATAAGCCCACGGGACGACCTTGTGCCTCTGCTAGATAGGTAGAATAAATAATTCTTGCCAGCGACAGCTAATGGCAGCGTAACTTAGTTGAAAGAGGTGCGAGCGAATCTCTATTTTCAAGTTTAAAAAGAATTGAATCTAACGTGCATCTTTCAACCGATAGAGTCTGAAAATTGCCTGCACGTGAAAACGAAACCGAAACTGTGTTGCCAGTAGCCTCCCGTCAGAAGGGTCAGACACAGTGTCATCGCTAGTCACATAATGGCGACCGACCACGGGTGTGCGTAGAATGCCTTTGTGTGCGACTGAGCTATGCACGTTGTAATTTGTGGCCTTGGGAAGTGCAGCTAGTGATGTCCCGCTGTTAGTATGAACGTCGACGTCAAGTGAAGGTAGTCTTTCATCGTGAAAACAGCTGCGTCGCGCTCTTATGTGTCCGCAAGCCTGCGACTGCAAGTGCGACAAAAGAGGGAGATCAGCTGTATGTCGACCAGAAATTGTTTCCGTGGACCGAAAACGTGAAAATATCAGCTTTTCGGCCGGCTGGAGCTATTCTGCATTGGATAGAGATTGCCTAGGTAACGACCCCAGATACGTACACACGCGATTATGGTGTGTGTAGAAGCGCATGAACTTCCAGGAGAATAAATTTTCCATTATAAGAAGACATCTATTGTCCCGCTCACTACTTTTATAATTTTCAACCCAGGGGAACGCAAGTTTATATTTAGCAGTTGTGAATATTTGGTTCACGCTTGATTCGAGTAAAGGCATCCTTTTTTTGGGGGGGGCGAAATCTGAATATCATCGTAATATGCAGGGCCGGCGTAAAACTGATTCGTATAACCAAGGTTTTTAATACATTATTCCTATGTGGATTTTGCCGGGACCCAGCCGATTCATCGTAAAATGCGGGTCATCGCGAAACCGGGGAACGTATATTCGAAGTTTCACTATAGTTTCCTCACGAGGCCACCACATGCCTATGCAGGCGCTCGCAATCCCACTGGAAGTAAAGCATGCACTCAAAGAAAAAAAGTGTTCCAGGCCATGGTGCACGTGTGGTGAATATTGTTTCCCCGATACCATCCCTCCCTGCTTATCCAGCACGCTCGTCGAGATGAGTGAAGAAAGAAAGCAATTGCAGCGTACAACAAAGCACCATAACTCCTGTAGTACTATCAGCATCAAATGATACCCGAACAGCGGCAAGCTTTTGCGATTGTCTAGTGCGTGCAGTCCAGTTATCACCATTGACAGGTGCGCGCATCCTGCTCAGGAGCTTTGCGCATACAGTCGAGCCCACATATAACGGCCCCACTTAAAACGAACTTTCACTTAAAACGAACAATATCCGCATGACCGTGAAAATATACATTGGTTCTATGGCACAAAATTGCACTTACAACGAACGTCTCCGAGCGCCGCTGGTCGGTTACAGCGAACGGAGTCTGCGATCTGCCGACTTCCAGGGAAACCAATTTCGACCACCGATCCGGCAATGTGAGGTGCCCATACATTCTTATTGTTAAACGTCGACCCTGCCTCCGCGCCCCTCTAGTTGCCGCTCTCCCCGACCGCTTTTTGTTACGCACCCCTCTGTCCTTTGTCCCTCCGCTACTCTGAGTACCCCACATTGCCAGACTAGGCCCGTGTTTTCACACTGCCAGCGATCTTTCGAAGACCGGTCGGCCATCTACCGTGTTCTTGATCGCTGGTACTGTCGTTGGCGTCGCCGGCCTAGCGTGACCAGACCAATTGCCAACATCGTCGGCCACCGACTGTATCCGATAGCCTGCGCCTAGTGCACGCGCGGAAGCTACCTCACCGACTGTGATATTTGTGATTCGTTTCGGGTTTAGGACTTGTTCTCGCTCATTTCGCACTCGATTCAGCATGCCTTCCACACGCGTAGCGGAAGCGCGAAAACGGCTGTGAATTTGCGCGGAACGAATCGCGACCAATGAAATCGCGACCAGGCACGCAAACCCGCCGGCTCAACAAAACGATTTTTCGACCACGGCCGCCGATTCTTCGAACACCGCCGCGCATAGCCACTCTTACCAAGTTTTTTTACTGGGCGAGTTTCGCGGACCTTTCAAGCAAGTTACCTAACCTGCCTCCTTCCCGTGTGTTTTGGTTTTCAAGGTTGCCCTCCCGCCGCATCCTCTCCTCTCTTTATCGCAACTCCTTGCCCTTCTCTCGCAAGTCTGCTCTCTTCTCTTGATAACAACCCCTTCGCCAGTCTCCACCGCTCCGCGGCGGCCGCCACGCTGGCTCGAATTAGTTTCGTTCTCTGACGGGAAACGCGCCCAGAGCTGTTACACGCGTTCTGGCACGTGTGTCGCGTGTGCGCAGTCTTGCTCGCTCTTGGTGTGCGTGTGGGATCAGGATGGCAGACGGGAGGAATAGCACACCTTTTTTTTCCCTGCCGCTCAACAAAACGTCAATAGTGTGACCGCTAGGCTTGAGCGTAATCCGTGCGTTATGTGCAGCGTTGCGGAGCACTTGCTCATAGCTGTTGACCACTTGGCAGCCAACTTGCTGCTTCAGGCGTCCCGTTATTCAGCTATGGAGATGGTGTATACTATTTCGTGGGCGGCGGTGGCGGCTACGTTCGCGCGAAACTGTTCTCGTGAGGCCGACTTTGTCGACGTCGGGCCCGATGCTGAGCCTGAAGCTTCCGGACAAGACCACTGCGGTGGCGATTTGTGGCAAAGCGTCGCCGACTCCGACCTGGGAGAGCGGATGATACATTTCTTGCAATGGTTTAATTACGGCCGATGATGATGCCGACACTGCGGAACCGTCCATGGATGAGGGCATTGTGAATGAAGTGCGTGGCGAGAGAGATTTGGAGGAATCGAATTGCGAGAACAACGAAACTTTGGAGCCAGTGCCTCATGCAGCTTATGCCACGGGCCTCGGTGAACGAGCGCCATGCGGTTTTAAATCAACTTGAGACCGCCCTTATCGCTTCTGCTATTCGAAACACATGCATCATGGACTTTTTGGGACAAAAAAAGTTTGTGTTTTCATTCAAAACTTTTTTAAAAGCCGTGTTTCATTTACTACGAACTTCGGGATACAGCGAACGGATGCCGCGTCACGCTCAGGTTCGTTATAAGCGGGCTCAACTGTATATGCGTGCCTGTTCGTACTGATCAGTGCATGGTGTGCATAATACCACCGCGAAGACTTGCCGCTGTTTGGGTTTCATTTGACGCTGCTAGTACATGATAGATTCTACAAGTGTTTGCGGTGGTCGATTGTTGCTTATAAAAGTGTTTAGGACCCCTTTAAAGTAAAACTTCGGCGATTTTTCTACCATGTCGAAGTAATGGTGCCCTTATGTTTCCCAGACGCTCCTGTCATGGGCATGATAGCAGAAGTACTCGGCAAAGGTTTAGAATAATTTTATATAAGTAAAAAAGTGCAACACCGAAACTGAGACCCAACTGCAGTACTTTCTTGGGTGACGTGAGCATTGGTAAAAATCATGCAAACCGGAAACAGTGCAAGGCATGCCGGTCTCACCGGTGCAGAGTATGAAAGCTCCCTGCGAAGGGGCGAAGAGCGGACGGTCAGGGGAAAAGTGACCTCATCGCAACAGCTGCACCATGTCTGTTACTGACTGTGCTATGTTCACAAGCTTCGCGGAGCTTTCAAAAAATGATAGCCGAGATTCAGACTCTTGCGGAGGCTAAGTAAAATCGCCAAAGAGGAATGGTGATTGCTAGTTGTGCATTCCACTGTCAAATGGCGCCACCCGTCCAGGCCGTTCAAGTTTGTGCGGTCATGATCATTAAAATGCCTATTGCTGAAAAGTTTGCAGACTAACTGAAGCATCCTAATATTGCTATATGAAGAGTGCATTTGTCAGGCAATAGCGGAGATTAAAATTGTGCTGGCTGGGCTGAGGGAAATTCATTTAGGCCAAGTACACGCTCCCTTTTGCACGACACATTTGCCTCGGTCAAGGTGTGCCCTGTATACGTTACAAAAAGTATTTCAATGCGGTTATGTGCTTGCTTAATACACTGACGCAATGTTCATGCATAAACTTTCTTCTGCCTGCTACCGTATTAGTACAGTTTCCGTGAAGTGAGCCGGCACTGCGAGCTAAATCAATATATATCATTGAGACGAAGGGTAATCGTAGCCTCCAAATGTTTCGTGAATGTTGAGGTAATTGTACGGGGAATTGTGTGCAACCACGACGCAACACTACCTGGCACTCATCGCTAGCAAGCCCACAATGAATTGAAATTCGCACGTCAAACCAACGAAACCATGGCTTAGCAACACACGCGATCATTGCCTTGTGAACACCAGGCGATGTAGTGGCGCCTCGGTTCCGTCGCTTTGACGTAAGCGTTGGTACACACACAAAGTTGACAATAATTGTCGGAAGCCAGTTGGAAGAGTCAGGGTAATCTATGAATTTAATTTGTAAAAAGTCTGCATATCTTTTCAGCCTGTAATTGGGGATGAATGATGGAAACGTGCATATGAACGTACCAAGCGAATTTATTGAGATCTATTGACCTCGAAAAATCGCCGTAGTTGGTTTTTGAGGCAAAGCAATGAATGCTATAAGAACGGAGCACGGTATTGGAATGGAATAAGCTCCCAGAGTTCGTAATTCAAGCACCGGACTCCCATCATAGTCTGGAAGAATATTTGTCGGTGAATCTGTGATACCAGTGTTTTGGTATGTTCTGGTACCACAGATTTAAATCTGTGATACCAGGGCATTGCAGCTAAGGTGAACACAATGTGGTATCAGTGATAGGGTGATCAACAAAAATTTAAGTGCTGCAAAGCCAAGAGGAACGTTGTATAACACAGTGCAAACAAATTTTCTGTCATGAAGCTGTACATAATGTTTGCCCATAATCTAGTTAGGAAGTTTGTTATCTAGCAACCAAGTGAGGGCTGGCTCACACAATCAGTTTCCTTCGTTCTCTTGAACTATGCGTGCGATAACTCTTGTGATAACTTTTCATATTCGTACTGTCAAACTCCGAACGGCAAGCACTATTGCGACAGCGCTGTTAGCCAATTCGATGCAGTGTCGGCTTGCTCAGCGTTTCATCTTATCATTGGCTGAATGTGTACGATAACGACCCTCTTTTCGTTTTGAGCCGTTCACGTTTTCCGGTGTCTCCCAGGTTGGCCTGGACGCGCACCCCAACGTGGACGACGACCGGGTGCCCGCAGCAGGTGTGGTGGTCGTGTGCCTACACCATCCACGGGGCCGAGTGGTTGCTACGAGGCAAGCCCCTGCTGGGGGACCTGTCGGCCCGGCGCAGTCACTGCCTCGAGGCCCTCGTCCGCACCGCGGCTGCCTCGCTGCGCGTCTCGCCCCCTGAGGCTGTGGCCAGCCACTGCCTGCGCCTCATGGGCAGGGTGTTTGCACTCTCCAGGTGTGCGCTGTTTTTAGGGGCGGAGCTCCTTAGGGTGTGGGTCGTTCTCTCCTCTGTAGTAGTAGTAGTAGTAGTTGTAGTAGCAACGGCAGCAGTAGCAGTAGCAGTAGTATGGAGCCACCTCTAGTTTATGAATCGCTCAATATATTTTAGCTCAATAGACGTTAGTGGTTTTTTCGTATCAGCACAAGGACACCATCGCTCCAGTCCCACTTTATGGTAATGGCTTGGGAAGTGTGCTTTTGTTTGAGGCGAGAGCAGGGGCCCTGCATACTCTTGTTCGTAAACAAGCATACGACAGCGAACTGATGAGTGTGGTGTGTCGCGCATGCGGTGGGGCTGATGAGACCATCGCACACATTGTGACGGAGTGCGCACAACTGATCCCTCCTGATGTCAGCACAGATTTTGCTGCCGCGCTGGGGTTTGTTGGCACAGATGGCGTGGTGGAATACGCCTCAGTCAGGCGCAGCAAGACTTGCCTAGAAGAATGGAGGTGAATAACCCTCTAAGGACTTCGGGAGGCGGTTCTTCACCCACCAGCCTGCTCAGTCTTTTTTATTGTACTATCTATTTATTTATCATTGGCTTGGGTGCCACAGGGTGCCCGCCCGCTATGAAGGGAATAGTCTCGCTATCATCATCATAGTTGGCGAACAGACAGACGGGACGAACGAACGATTTCGTATAGTTGACGGACGGATAGATGAACGAACGCTTCGCTCCACTCATGATCTTTCGCTCCATGAATATGCTGTTAATTTTTCAGCGTTTTAAGACAAGACAACTTCTCTTTTCATGAACCTGGTTGAGTACGTTACTGCAACTTGAGAAGAGGGTTGCATCCAGAGTTATTCAATCATACAAGTTGGGAAACTTCCCATAGGCTCCATGTATCAAAATTTAGACACGTCATTGGCACCCCTGCCGGGAGTGAGCAGGTTGTCACGCCACTTGTTGATCTGCAAGCCCACTATTAAACGCATTATTTGTGTTTTGAGCAGCCGCTCTCAGGTGGCCGCGAACGTCAGCTAACTGCCAAAAAATTGGGCCATTGTGTGTCTGGGTTTCGGGACGCAGTTTCACAACTCATGTAATTGAATAAGTCTGGTTGCATCCACCGTGACTACTCGCGTAAATGCTTGAATTGTTAGAGTAATGAAACGAATATTCCAGTACCTGAATTCGCTTCAACACATGTTAATGCTATTTTTAATTATGACGTAAGCAAAACAATTGGAAAAGACAACTTTCCGCATGCATCTTGGCTCAAGAGGTCATTTCACTGCTTCTTGGAGCTACTATACTTACGATACCATTTATTGAAAGGAGGTTTTGCACTGCCACACAGCACACTGTCTGGCGAACTATACATACTACCTGTGACCTGTATTTATTTTGCAGCATAATAGCTTGCAACAATTGCTGATAACCAAAATCACCATTCTTGCTTTGAGGTGTGAGTAGGAAAATGCTCAAAAAGGATACACAGGGTGAGATGACACTGAAGTTCCTGTACCAGTCGCCACAATGTCGTAGACCTTGGTGGCATCTACTGAAGTCTGAGTAGTTGCTAATTAGTAAAAACGAACTACATTGTCCTCTGAGCAGTAGCAAACGTACAAAGTTTTTTTTTTTTTTTGGGGGGGGGGGGGGGAGGTGTTGGGTTGGGGGTGTTCAAGCATAGTGTGTGTTTGTCACATGCAAGGTAGAAAAATTCAGGCGGCGGGGGGGGGGGGGGGGGGGGGGGGGGCGAGGATATTAGTTCCCTACCTCATAATGGCTAGGCCAGTGATCCGAGGGTGCCAAAAATCTAACATACAGTGTTCTTGGAACTGTTGTTAAGTCGATGTTACGAAAGTATGAAAAATTCACTTTGAAATTCGTAACACCCCACGAAACTCTGCTGTCAAATATAAAGATGAAATTTTGCTCTCGATTTTATAAACCTATGCTGGGGAAATAATTTTATATGTGCTTATAATCGGTTTAAGCAGATTCATTGCTTGGCATCAGTGTGCCTTTAAGCTCTTTGTACACTGCGACAGTCATTGTTGGAAAATTTTATCACCGATTTTTCTTTGTTTCCTCGTAGACCACCTGGTACAAGTCACAATTCTAAGGACGTCAGTCCCACAACTCCGTCCCCCACTTCTAAGCCTTCCATTGACATGACGATGACGCAGCAGCAGCATTCCTATAGCGAATCTCCCGACAACCTGGTGACATCGGTCGATCGTTTGGAGCGCGGAATCCTGGGCACGGCAGGCGTGTCGCTCTCTGAACCGAGCTTGCCTCCGTCCGGTGGCCATCACTCTCAAGACGGCTTCCGGCGGCTCTGTGCTGGACATAGATGCGTTTGGACTGATGGTGGCGTTGTGCCTGTCGGCGCCTTCATTGTTTGCGAATGCGGCACCCTTGCCACTAGGGGGTGCCCTGGATGGTCACGTGCTGCGGCTAGTCCTTGCCCTTCATCTAGTCCAGGTAAGTTAGCAGTTCGATGACAACATCCCTAAAGAAAGGAGAGAATGTGCTCATACGTAGTTATAAAATCAATGGCTTGACGATAAATAAACCCTTTTCATAAACTGCGAGGGCGCTTCTCTGTGCTGCCATATTCGCCCAACCAATGGCGGAACGTGTCATTTTTGAACTGGACACAAAAGTCCTATTTGTACATTTTCGGGGTTTTCTATAAAGAGCAGCATACAGGACTAGCATGCTTCTGTCTAGAACAGGAATGGCACATTCTGATAAACTTATTTCTACAATAGTATTGAAAGTTGGGCTGTCAGTATGGATGCATTTTTCGTTACAGCACGAGAATGATGAAGACGGATTAAGGAAGTAAGACCGGATACAGCGTTGGTTTCTGTCCGTTCCGTATTTCGTATTCGTCGTCTTCGCGCTGTAACCAAACTACTTATGTCAACACCTAGGAAAGAGGACACAGAAAAGAAGTTTACAGGACTTGTGTAGTCCTGTATAGGAAAGAATGGCACATTTTGATAAACTTACGTCTACAATAGTATTGAAAGTAGGGCTAGTCGGTATGGATGCATTTTTCGATAGAGCGAAAAAAATGGCAAAGACAGGAATATGGGAGGAATACCGTATACAACGTTGGTTTCTGTCCCTTCCGTACTCAGTCTTCGTTGTTTTCGTGTTGTAACCAAAATGTCTACGTCTAGGAACAGGACACAAGAAAGGAGTTGACAGAACGAGTGTAGTCCTGTCTGTCTTTTTTTGTGTGTGTTCTGTTCCTTGGCGTACTTTTACGTTTTGTACCTTGTCTGTTATGTGTTTATATCAAGAGTGCTCGAGTGTACATTTCTAGCATAACTGCACATGCAAACTATGCTTTGGGCACACTGTTTGCAGAAGTGACTAGCTGCCATTTATTGTGCTAACCTTATCTGAGTAAAACTTATTTTGCAGCAATGAAAAGGGTGTATTGTCTGGTTGGGAAGAGGCATAATGAAAAAAGGAAAGCTTGAGAAACGCCGACCAAAATGGAGAAGGTTTAGGGTGTGTTCCAATGCTCGCCATAGATGGCTAAGTACTAGACATCTAAGTTGAAACCGGCCTATCCTGAGCCACATTCCGATTCTCAAATGGACAGCTTCAAGATGATGGCATCACAGACAAGCAAGATGTAGGCTGCTTAGCTCTTTAAACAAAAGATGGTAAGTCGGCGGAGTGCTCGGGTAGCCGGGATCTTGCTGCTCTGCTCACAAGCAAACGCTCTTCCACATGCTCAATTTAAGCTACGGTCCATTTTTCCTTTATCTGAGCAGAAAAGAACTATAAGAAATGTAAATTGTTAGTTTTCCTTGGGGTTTTTTTCATCAATGCGAAGTACTGTCACGTTGCACAGATGTCATCCAGATGTGTCCTGTTACCTGTACGACCGAGGCTCGAGGCTTTCCTCGACGCTGTCTGCATAGACTTCCTACGGATGCTGTCCAGAATCGGAACACAGCCTTAAAGGGCCAGTCAACAATCATTCGTTCCGAACATATGTCGGGACTGAAATCTTCTGTCGGCATCAACCGCCAGTACAGTCGAACTGCGCGGCAACGAACACCGCTTCAACGTAACTTTCCGCTACAACGAAAAATTCGCGATTCCCCGTCAGCAGTCCATAGGAGTGTCGCCACAACGAACACTTTTATTTGATCGTCCCGCTTCAACGAAATTTTACGATGCAATTCCAGACTTAGATACTTATTTTTGTGCAGTAAACCCAATTCTTAACATTTCGATGCATTTGGAGAGCCTGAAAACGTGTCAATGAACTCTAAAACAAGAGTTGGCACCACCAGAAACATGCGGCGATATCGCCGCTGTTTAGCAAGCATGGACGCCGCCATCGCACGATAGCGATGGCAATGAGACTGCCCTGCTTTTGCCACTGGCTTGCTTTTGAGCCGCAGGCGATCCGAAGATGAAGCTCAGTCGCTCAGCTCGTGGTTTCCTTCATGCAGCTGCCAGGTGCAACTGCGAAACGATGCCTTTTCCGATTCCGATGCTTATCATTATGTTTGCACTTGGCCAGTGTGGTAACTACCGTATTTACTCGATTCTACCGCGCCCTCGATTGTAACGCGCACCCGATTTCCACCGCGAAAAAAAAAAAAAAAAGTGAGACATCGATTGCAACGCGCACCCATTTTTCTCGCTGGCCCGCACGATCACACCACTCGAAAAAACGGCTCCTTTCGGGAGCGTCTTCCGTTTAAATATGAGGTACGGGGGAAGCTTGGGCCTATCTGACGGGCAACGGAGCATTGCTGTCACTCAATTTTTACCATGGCCCGATGTCAGCACGCAAACTTGCTTCGCCCCTTTCTTTTCGACGGTTGTGGTGCCAGGCATGTCGAAGTAAAGAGGCGTCTGATCGGCATTCCCGATTTGCCCAAGCAGGTAGCCGTTGTTGCGCCGCAAGTTTAGGACGAACCTCTGAAAACTGTGAAGCTTTTCATCGTACTCCTCCGCAGAACTTTTCGCATGTGCATGTTCCCCTTCGGAGGGAAAAGCCTTTCCTCTTCATAAAGTTAGTTAGCCAGCACCTGCTCGCTTTAAACTGGCTTCGCATTAGACCTTTTTCTAAGACTAATTGCATAGCCCGCACTTGAAGCAGTTCTGTCGTCACGGGCCGCTGTGCCGCTCGCTGCTCAAGCACATACTCGCCGAGCAGCTCTTTAATTTGCGGAAACCGACCCTGCTGTGGTCCACTGAAGCCTTTGCGTGAAGCTTTGCTGTCGACAATCTTCTACTTTTGTTTCCACCGGTCCCGCACGCACGTTTCGGGAACTCCGAACGACCGCGATGCGGCCCGATTTCCATGTGTTTCTGCACACGCGATGACTTTTCCTTTAAAAGCGGCATCGTGGTGCACTCGAGTTTTTGGAGTCGGCCCTTCTACGCCGTCGATGCTAATGCACTACTAGATGACGAACTCCTCAGCACACGTACGAAGTGCCGCACATGGGAAACACATAGGCAGAAATAGCCGACGCGCCATGCCGACGCACGTAGGGGGCGGCCATTTTGGATTTGCCGATGGCAATAGATTGACCGTAATTTTTTTGTTCGTACTCGATTCTAACGCGCATGCGATTTATAAACTCGCTTAACCGGAAAAAGGTGCGCGTTAGATTTGAGTAATTACGGTAATCAGAGCGGCTGTTCGTCTGCATTATAAACAAAATCGGCTAGCCTCGAGTGATGGGTGATAAGAATGGCATAGGATAATGCAAAAGTCGCCGCTCCATGATACCCTGCCTCCATCTCGGCGTTGTCGGATACTTTTGACGGCGTACAGCTGCTGGTGTTAACGTGTTAATGCAACTGTTTCGTTCGTTCACGAAGGCACTTTTAGGCGTTTAGGGTAGACGCTCCTCGAAAAAACTTTTTTTATTTCTAGTCATAGACACTTGAAAATTTTGTTATCAACATAATTTTTCATGGAGATTTCAAATATGCAATCTCTTTTTTTTTGTGTGTAGCTGCTATAGTTATTGAGTTACGCCATGCACAATAGCAAAACGTTACATGTTTTGCGGGTACTCTCTTATGTACTTGACTTTCAGTAAAAGCATTGTCTCTGGTCTTATTTGACTCTTGGTAGATTGTAAAGTGCAAATATCTATCCAGATATGTCACAGAAATATTGGAACAAAGGAAAAAAAATCGTATTGATTGACTAATTATTTTCAATCTCCCTTGAAGCAATAACCTAATATTTTCACAACTAATTCTGGTAGGCATTGCAATTTCAAGTAGATATTTGCACTCAGGATGTATTTAAGAATATGCGTGCCAAGTTTCGTTATTTAAGTATAAGTGTCTAAAAGGTTGCCCGGAAAATGTGAAATTGTAAAAAAAAAAAAGTGAAAATGAGAAAAACAAGTTTGAAAGTTTGGAAAGTTGGCATTTATTAAAAAACCATTTTTTTTTCCATCAGACTGGGGCACAATGAAAAGCATTTTGCACTGAATGCTTGGAAAACCGATAATTGCACAGAATTGTGAAAGTTGGTCATGGCCTGCGTCTATAGCGCGTGCTGCCACAACTGCCTTCAACGTTCACAGCAAAGCTATCACGCGAGCTGCCGCTGTCGAAACGAGCACTCGTCCCTTGGTCCCTAGCCGAAGTAGTACGTTTTGACACGTGCGTGAATGAAAGTGTAGGTTCAGGGCAATCGGTATTTTCACAGCACAGTTTAAGGAATGCCAAAAGCCCTTTGCGCTTTCTAGCTACCTCGAACGCAGAGCTCCCGTTCCCGGCAGGTTGGGCATTGCGCACCTGCCACAGGGCAGTCAGCGCATTGATTTCGCAAAGCAGCGTGTTGGCAGTAGCAGCACCTACTAGTCTACATTCACTCTCGAAGAATCCGCTCTTCATTTGGGATTCACTGACGAATTTCACGGCAGCGGCTATTTCACAACCACTGTCGCCGCAGGGTTCGGTGTCAGTTAGGCCTATCCTAAGTTCTGAACTTTCGATTATCTAGACTGCGCTTCTCTGGGCTCGCCACGACGCAAAACTGCAGAGAAACACCGAACAACTCGATTGCGACGTCTGAGGCTTCGCTCCTTTGCCGGAAGAATACAAGGGAGAGTAGCAATGGCGGCCTCGCGCTGCTTGTCGCAATATTCAAAACGCGTAACATATGCATTGTTTTTCTTGTTTTTCGTTCATTATTCGTGAAAATACGAGACTGGCTACTAGTGGATTGTGAAGGGGAAGGCCTTCGCAGCATGCGTGCATGATTGTAAATGGCGGCCAACGCGTCGTTTTCGCGACAGGACAACGCGAACTATGCCATTTTTGGCGACTTTCACGCATTTCTCATGTCACCGCTCCCTACTTGGAAGCATTTTTAGATCATTTCTCATGTGAATTTCAGCTTAATATTTTCAGAAGTAGAAGATTATAGTCCAAGGATGCCAATACAACGGGAAAAAAAAGAAGCGAAAGTTTTCCAGAAAACCGCGACTTTTTGACCCGCGTCTCCCCTTAAGTGTGCTTTTCACCATGGCCTCGCTATGCATGGGTGAGAATCAAGTCATGACGCTGCTGGGAAAGAATAGGAAATAGGGGACATTTTTGAATTTTTAGAATAAACGTTCCTTTATTTTGCTAGCTCAGATCAGCTATAGTTTCTTTTATTTCACTACAACGAAATTTTCGCTCCAACGAAATTTTCCCCGCACCCCGGCAGTTTCGTTGTAGCGGATTTAGACTGTATTACCAAGCCCGACACGTTCCGTCAGGACTTGACATCTTCCATGTGAAATGCGTTACATGTTGCGCATGCGATAGTACCTCATTTCTTTTCGTGACTTGTATTTCATTCTTCATTTCTTTCTCGTCTTTTTATTAGTCAATCTTTTGTACCTTTTGTGCATTAGCTGGCTTATTACGTGCATGTTTTTCTTTTTGCCCCTCTCCTCTACAATGCTGTAAAGCCCCGGGGGTAAAATAGAATAGTAATAACATTAATAATAATAATAACAGGCTCCGACCCTTTTTTTTTCACAGCTCCCCCCCCCCCCCCCTCCCTTCGATGAAAAAAAACTTCGGTAAGTTGTTGAGTAGACCGCGGGATAACGCTTTCTGAATGTTACGGCACTTCGGGCCCCGCAGAGCCTCCATTTCACAAAGCAATTCCTGCGCTCTTCTCCTACGTCTGACCAATTCTCCCATCACACATAGTTTCGTAATGTCGATTAATCTGAACCAGTCACGATGACGAGCTACGCCTTCCCCTCCTTGTGAGTGAGAACTGTGGCGAGGCATCGCAAAAATTTGAAACCAGCTGAAACCGATGTCTAACACCTGTAATTTCCTTAATGTAGCACATATTGGCAAAATTCTAGCGTTAGCATGTTCACAAAGCAAAAGTGCACGTATTTTGCTTTATAAAAAATTTCGGACCTCGGGGTTGCTTAATGGCCATTAAAAACATTATGGTGTTTTGGGTACCTCATCTAAGTCAAAATGTCTTACTTGTTCTAAGCCTTTTTATGTTGGTAAATGTCTCTTATGTTTTCTTTTCCTATTAAACCTCATTATAACGAAGTTGTTGGGAGAGATAGCTCGAGAACTTACTTCATTATATCCATTACAGTGATATTCATTGTTCAAACTCTCGAGAACTTATTTCATTATATTCATTACAGTGATATTCATAGTTCAAACTGATAATAGAGACTCTCGCTTTAGAGAGATTTAAAATTTTTGGTCAGCCCACAATGTTCTCAGTATATTTTAAGGCTGCCTAATTAAAATTCATTCTTCGTGTTGACTTTTTTCATTCATATTTTACTTAAATATGTGAAAATACAGCAGACTTTTGCTAGACACAACCTGAAATGAAGAGAAAAAGTTCAATTTAATAGGAATTCCTTCTAGTGAGACGTGAAGAGAGAGGCTAATACAAGCCCGTTATCCATCATATCAGAGGCAGTTGAGTGCATTCGAGTTCTATTTTTAAAAGATTTCTATTTCCTGAGAATCTATGTGTAGTCAACATGTGATCACTCAAACAATCGCTAGTTGACTGAGAAAGAAAGAAAGAAAGAAGGAAAGAAAGAAATGAGCGACAGAAAAAAAAAAGAATTTTTTCGGCCTTGGTGGATCATGTGGGGAACTCAACATTTTTCCCGCAGTACAATGGATATACATTTCGAGGCTATCGAGTTTTCGTTTTGTTCTGCTTTTTACTTGGTGGTCTTATGAAAAACGTATGAGGCATTCTACTTTATAAAGCCAAGAGGAGGATTGGATGCACACTTCAAGGCGGCAGTTGTTCGCGCCGCTGTAATTGAACTGCGAACGTTTTCTTTCCTTGTGCAGGTGATCCTTACGGTTGAGCCGCACGAAGAGAAGATGGACACGGACTCATCGTCGCCTGTCGAGGAGCAGAGCAAATCGGAGTGTAACTCGAGGTTACTGGACTTCTGTAGCGAAGTGCTCACGGCTGCTGGAACGCCACCACAGAATCCATCGGCGGTGAGCCCGATATTTCTTTTTATTTGATCGATCTGTGCTTTTTGCGCCTTTACGATGCTTGGTAAGCAAGAAAACGTGCAAAAAGAAAATGTGGGTAGAGATGCGGCCTTGAGGTTCTTGTGCAAAACACCGTGATGTCGCAGATTTTGAAGGCGTCTATTGGGTCCTACGTAAGTATTGATTGGCAAAAATGAAGGAGGTCGTAGGCCTAGCGTACATAGCTTTAAGAAATTTGATCGAGCCATTGTCGCAAAAGCACGAAAAATAAATTCTGAGATCAGTGACCTCACGTGCGGAAATCTGGGCGCGAAATTTAGAAATTAAACTTGAGCCTTCATTTTCTCCTCTAGTAACAAACTTGTGATGGTGAAACTTTAGAGTTTTCAGAGTGCAGTTTACTAATCTAAATGAAGTCATTGTTTTACTCTAGCATCTCGGTAATTAGCCTCATGTGAATATGCTCCTTTATTTAGTTGAAATAGAACTACAGCTCCTTCCAATGTGATGCCTATCCTAGTCCATGTTTTGCTTTGGGATGCTAATATTTTATTTTCCGAAATATTAAAAAACCTATATAAAAAGTGTGGGGGTGCTGACACCCCCCCCCCCTGTAAAGTTGTCTGCGCCGCGTGGCGCACGTGTCTCGCCCCAGGGCGTTATTTCGGTGGTGACCACCACCGGGCGATAGATGGCGTTGTGTTCGCTTTGAGTACCACTGTTGGTAGAGTGGTAGCGCCGGTGGTGGCCCCTGGCGGAAGGCGGGCCTTGGTGCTGGGCGAGCGTTGAGCGAGCCTCTTCTGCGCGTGGCGGCTGCCGCGAACGGTTGTCTGTAGCGCGGGTCCCCGGTGCTCGGCACCGCGGGCTTCGCGCCGGGGTCCCACGTGGAAAGTCAGGCGTTGGCGACGCCGCCTTGGGTATGTGCTAGTGTATTGGGTGTTATTGTGTGTTTAGTGTTTCACTGTGTTATGTTGTTTGTATGGTAGCGTGTTAGTTGAAATTGGTGTATCATTCGGCAGACGATATCGCGTCTAAATTGGTTAATAAATGTATGTATGTGGGTGCGTTGTACCGACCGTGTCCACTGTGTCCGTTCACTCCAAGAGCGTGGCGTGGCGAGGCGCGCGTTCGCCTCGCCGAGACCCCACACTGGCGCCCAACGTGGGACTCTTGGAATGTCGGACGACAGTTCTTGCGGTTCGGTACAGGGATTTTGTTAGAGCCGGAGTAGAGTAGGCCTAGGGGGGACTTCTTTGCTAGCGTTGGTGTTGTGCTTTGTTGAGAAGCGAGGGGATTAGTTTTGTAACGTGTTTCAATTTGTCGGCAGGTTGACTTTCTTTTTTTTTGCTCGCAAGTGTTCTTATTTTTTGTTGTTAGTTTTCAAAAACGTTGTTGAATTAGGACGAGAGCCATGCGGTCCGCATCCTGGGGTGAGCAAGGCCTAGAGCACGTGGTTTGTAGGCCAGGCCCGAAGCGAGTGAGTACGGAAGCCTCGTGGGTGGTTCGATTTTCTGTAAATAGCTTCTTCTATCTCTTTGGGCTCAGGGAGCCGGGCGTCGTTGCTGACTTGTATTGCGGCTCGACGCCGGGGCGTCGTGACACCGCCCGGGGCGGTGGACGCCGATCGCTCGGTAAGCTGCTGTGTGCGGCGAGCGATAGGGCCACCTCACAGAGTGGACGTCTCCTCGCGGCTGCCTCTTCTGCGCCTAGGCTGGGTGCTGGGTGGATGCCGGTTGTTGCCGAGCGACTCATTAGGCCTAAGGCTCTGCGCAGCCGCCTGTCGCACGTGGCACAACTAGGTGGATCGTAGCGTTGAGGTGTTGCGCTCCGCTTCCCTCACTTTTTTTTTCTTGTGAGCACGAGTTAGGAAAAGTGATTTTTTGTTTTTATTTTGATGGGCGTCTCGGCCGCCACCGATGTATTAGCTAGCAGTACTAACCACCGTACCACGTGGCCGAAAAGCCTGAAGCTCCCTCCCCTGGGCCGTGCTCCTTTGTTTCTTTCGAGTTTTGTTTTTTGTTGATGTATTCAGCGGGAGGGATGTCATCCACGGCCGGCGCATCGTCAGCGTCGCTGGCCAGGAATGCGGTCGTGAGTTCGGGCGATGAAGATGCCTGGACCTGCGCAACTGCCTGCAGTCCGGTGCCCTCGTGAGTGCTGGTCGCAACTGGAAGACGTGTCGGCGCTAGCGACGGATCGTCGCGCCGACGGCAACGTTGCTGTTGCGGGGCCGGTACTGAGGTGAAGTCTAGCCGGAGAGTGCAGCAGTGTCGACCGGCGGCGGTGTCGTGGCGCAAGGACATTATGGTCGTGCGATATCATTTTTTTGTTAAAGCTTGTGTAGCTAATTTCTGATTTCGGGATATGGTTTGATTTAAGGTTGGGGGAATGTGGGGGTGCTGACACCCCCCCCCCCCTGTAAAGTTGTCTGCGCCGCGTGGCGCACGTGTCTCGCCCCAGGGCGTTATTTCGGTGGTGACCACCACCGGGCGATAGATGGCGTTGTGTTCGCTTTGAGTACCACTGTTGGTAGAGTGGTAGCGCCGGTGGTGGCCCCTGGCGGAAGGCGGGCCTTGGTGCTGGGCGAGCGTTGAGCGAGCCTCTTCTGCGCGTGGCGGCTGCCGCGAACGGTTGTCTGTAGCGCGGGTCCCCGGTGCTCGGCACCGCGGGCTTCGCGCCGGGGTCCCACGTGGAAAGTCAGGCGTTGGCGACGCCGCCTTGGGTATGTGCTAGTGTATTGGGTGTTATTGTGTGTTTAGTGTTTCACTGTGTTATGTTGTTTGTATGGTAGCGTGTTAGTTGAAATTGGTGTATCATTCGGCAGACGATATCGCGTCTAAATTGGTTAATAAATGTATGTATGTGGGTGCGTTGTACCGACCGTGTCCACTGTGTCCGTTCACTCCAAGAGCGTGGCGTGGCGAGGCGCGCGTTCGCCTCGCCGAGACCCCACAAAAGCAGCTGCAGAAAATCTGATTTGTTTCAGTGCTGTAATGTCATCTTAATAGAACTTTTTTCTGATCTATTTGGTACATGCTTTCCTGAAATGTAAAAAAGAGGCGTACCAAAGGAAGGATTCAAGACCACAGAAAAGTACGCTCTTTTCTGTTTTGTCTTGAATCCATGATTGATGTTATGCATTGTTTTTGTATTTCAGTGACATCACTGCATTAAATAGGCACAGGTACTGTCATGAGCAGTACGAGCTTGAACACGCGAGGGCGTGTCAGATAGCCTCGAACCCTACATCGGCTGAATCATAGCGGCCGTTGTCGGAAGCAACGTGGAAGGAGCGGCGCCCTTTTGGTATCTGTTGACACTCCCAGCTAGGCATCGTTGCTGCAAAACGGCAGCTTATTGCATGTCAGTGGTTGCCAGCGAGGATATGAACTTCGCACAGTCACATGGAATCACCCATGTAGCTGCTGAGATATCGGCTGTGACAAAGGCTGTCGTGATCCCATGCCTGTTGGTGGTGTTGGATGCGCATTTTGGTGCACGTCTTTCACTTACATTGCTTTTCGCACATTTTCTTTGGTGTTATCATCGCTAGCGGTAGATTGCACGCAATCATCTGCCATTTGCCCACAACGCTAGCGAAGCTGGAGTGCCAGCGGACAGTGAAAGAGCACCCCTTCTTTTCAATCTAGTTTCGGCAGTGCCATCTACGTATCGCATTACCTTGATTTTGAGTTTACTTGCGCCGTGCTTGCGTGTTCAAGCTCATTTTGCTCACGATGGTACATTCTTTTAAAATGATAAGTTTTAATACAAAGCATAAATAAATTAGTTGTATGTTAAAAAAAGATTTGTCTTTAGGGCATGGTTTATGGGCATTTTTCTGCTGGTGTTGTTCTAAATGGCATTACAATAGTGTTGCATCATCTGTGAATCAAGGCCCAACCACATGCACGCGATTTTCAAGCAGCTGCGACGAGCGACAGGATCTGCTGTCATGGTGGCCCATCTGTCACCTGTCTCTTGTTACGTGCGGGTTTCTGGAAAACTAGAAAAAATCGCTTGTTGTCCGGAAGCAAGCATGATGATTTCCAGCAACATGGCAGCACCCCTGATATTCGCTTCATTTGCAATTTGCTCTTGATGCTTGTTAAAAGCGCGAACTTGAAGCACTGCAACATATTGACCACCTTCTTTACAGTCGCATCTCATGCGGAGTGTGAGGAAGTGGGCGTACTTTCTCATTGATCTTGTTATCGACAGTTTGTTTTGATGTTTCGGTGGTAGATTGCAGCAGTGGCGCTTTCTTGCTGCAATGTCAACATCGTCGTTGTGTAAATTCGCAAAGTGCGTTGCAACGTAGTCTGCCGCATAGGTGTAGCGGTTATGGTGCTCGGCTGCTGACCTGAAAGTCCGGAATTTGATCCCGGCTGTGTGGGTCCCATTTTGAGGGAGGCAAAACGGTCGAGTCCCATGTACTGTGCGATGTCTGTGCACAATGAAGAGCACCAGGTTGTCAAAATTTCTGGAGCCCTCCACTATGGAGTTTCTCATAATCATATCTTGGCTTTGGGATTTTGAAACCTGTATATTATTATTATTTTTATGGTGTCATGATGTATGCTTCTGTTTCCCCACGAGGTCACAGCGATACTACTGTTGCAGGTGAACTCAAGCTTGCGAAAAAATAAATCTTGAAGCACCCTTTTTTTTTTTTATGGCTTCCTGGCTTCCCATGTTCCACACAAGATGGTCATAGATTCGGCGTGTTGTCGTTCATCTACCTTAAAAATGTTTTTCGAAGTTTCTCTACATGCAAGTGATAGTTTCAATCTAGCAACAATGGCACTTGGAACTCATACTGTTCGCGACGTGGCCAACACGTGGTGGCACCCGTATGGATGTGACAGTGCAACGGAGCTCGTTTGTTGGTGTCGCTTATTGTCGTTGCTTGAAAATTATGTGCATGCAGTTGGTCCTTCAGAAAGCGAACTGGATGCATAGACTAGTTCAGACCAACCTTGGTTAGACCAAATTGGGACATATATTTCTCGTGGACGACCCGGGCTAGCTTACGGTTGTGGGTGTAAGAAACGTGTGGATGCTCATGGCTGGACTGCGAGGAGTAAAGGGTCAGAGGGAAAACATTTCGCTTATGGCGGCACCCATCAATAACTTCAAAATGGACACATAAAGATGGACATAGATGTAAGCGCTAACGTTCTGCACTTACATCTATGCCTCTCTTTCTCTTCATCTTGTTGCTTTTGATGCGCGTTGCGATACTCTAGCTCCAACTAGCTCAGCGGTATGTCAAGGGCCCTGCAACAGTTTTTTATCATGGTCAGAAAAAGCTGTAGATTAGTAGTAGAGGTTACTGTGAACATGCAAGCCAAACATTATAGTGCGCTGTATAGCCCGCACAAACGTTTGCGAACACGTCGAAAGTAAGCTGCGTGTTCGAAAAAACAGACAAAAAACTAACAGATAGCACTAAAGGTCATGATGTTTGCTATTGAAGGAATGCATCTCCTTGCCCTTTGTCACCCCCTCTACACCGTCCCTCTCTCTGTACCTATCGGCGCGCTCACTGGCACAAAAGGAGGGACAGCGCGCTTGAAATGCGCGACAAATCTTATAACTGCACTTCTACTTTCCAGGTTCTAAAAATTTTCATGGCAGTCTGTTGTTAACACAGTAAGCTCTTTTAAAGAAGCCATTCTGTGATTGCTTGAAAATTGTTGCAGGGCCGCTTTAGGCAAAGAGAGAAACGTATTGTTAAATTCGTTTTGACTATTTTGCAGCTAGGTGCTCCGTTTGTGGAGGCAGTGCACGAGGGCCTCCGGCCGTTCATGCGGTGCAGCGCCATTTTCTTGCACTTCCTGAGCAGCCGACCACCTCCCGACGCTCTGTGCGTCGCCGGTGGCGACACCTGGGGAGCGCTGTGCGAGTTTCTCTCGGTGCCGACTGACCTGTCCAGCATCTTGGAGTCGCCCGTGCTTCGACAGCTGGCCATAGGGTGAGACCATGGGGTCAGTCGCGTTGTCAGCAAGTAGTAACAGTATTTAGAGATCATTGTGGGCACTACACTTTCAATATTTTTTTTTTTTTACGGTGAAAATGTGTTAGGCTAGCCAATGCAGCAGAAGTAGTAGTAGTAGTAGTAGTAGTAGTAGTAGTAGTAGTAGTAGTAGTAGTAGTAGTAGTAGTAGTAGTAGTAGAAGGAGTAGTAGTAGTCGTCATCATTAGTGTCATCTAGAAAATCATTGGCTCAGTTGGTAGGTCACGTGATCTTACTTTGACCAATCAAAAATAAGCATGCGCATTTCAAGTATAACTGCTGAGACACTGATCTCGGTAGCGAATCATATGCTGGGTGTCTTTTGTTGACGATACAGATTTGTTAATTTAGGAAGCACCCAGGCCTGCACGGAAAGCGCAGCACAGTCGCAGTGGTAGCTGGAAGAGCCGCAATTCTAGAGCCAGTTTTTAACGTTTTTGAGGCTACTAATACAAGTATGTTGCAAGATACCCACTATGCCATGAATCATCATTTTTGTGGAGTTGGGAAGCACTCGCAGCACTATTATTCGTAATTCTGGAGAGGAGTACCCGCGATGCACTTACAAGGCATTATGTACACTTCGTTGAAGCAGTGGCTGATGACGAAAGATTTTGGCTGAGCCCTTTGTAATGGGATGGAAGCATTCAACGACCCACTTGTTATGCAATTTGTAATATATTACTGCTGGTTACAGAGTTCGCATTGTGTGACACCTGGGTGTTTTTTTTTCTTCTTCTACCACGCTGCACAGTAAAATCTCTTTAGGTCGACCCTTGTGAATTCGGAATTCCGGTTAATTCGGACACGGAAGTCTGGTCCCGTCCAAATTGTACATTGTTCTATGACTGAAAATTCTCATTAATTTGGACAAATTCGGCCGCGCTTCGGTTAATTCGAACACCCAACTGCGGTCGAGTCATGACGGGGAAGCAGTAGCGGATTCTGCCGGTCAAATCAGACGGCGTACGCAAACAACTTTGGGATCGCATTGCGGCCTCTGATATTCAAAACTTCATCCATAGTACATCCCATCCCCCCCCCAAAAAACCACATGGTGGTTTAAACAACCAAAATGGAAGGCAGTGCATCGGTAAAGGAGCTCTTCGATTTTCCACTTCTGGCTACCCGTGGGCTGCCAGAGCCAGCCAAAGCATGCTCGTTTTTCTCAAGCTGCTCCATTCTCCCCCTCCCCCCCCCCCCTGGCGCACTTCTGGCTGTGCGTTCGTTTTTATCGGGTTGGACGGTTCTGGCGACCCGCGGGGAGCCCGAAGGTCGCGAGACGCGTCCTGGACAATTTAGTCGTGGAAGCTCTCTGGAAGCTTTTCGGCAGGTTAAGAAGACATCTATCTGTCATGCTCTCCACTTTTCTAATTTTCAACCTAGGGGAACGCAAGTTTATATTTTGCACTCATGAATATTTGTTCCACGCTTGGTTCGAGTAAAGGTGTTCTTTTTTCTTTTGAAGGAAATCTGAATATTGTCAGCATAAAACTGATTTGTATAACTGAGGTTTTTAATACATTATTCCTATGTGGATTTTGCCAGGACCTAACCGATTCGTCGTAAAATGCGGGTCGTCGCGAAACTGCGGTACGTATAATCGAAGTTCCACTGTACATTCAAACCTCGATATAACGAAACCGGATAGTATAACGAAGTATTGGTTATAACAAAGTAAATGAAGAAGTCTTGCCATAGATATAGTGTTAGAAATATACCTGTGTAATGAATTAGAGCACTTATTTTTGTGTAAGATGCAACTATTATTATAATGAGGTTTGAGTGTAGAACGCTGTCATGTGCTATATTGTCTCTGCTGACACCTGCTCCTGTCTCGTAGGTGGGCATCACACCCGCGGGTGCGTGTGCATCTGCGCTATCCGAGGCTCGTGCGCCACCCAGTGCAGCCCAACCGGCTCGTGGAGCTGCCCAGCGACTTCAGCGAGCTCATCAACGAGGCATCCCTCTTCCGCTGCCCAAACTCTGATGGGGATGACTCGCGGTCGCCCACCCTGTGCCTCGTTTGCGGCCGCATTCTCTGCTCGCAGAGCTACTGCTGCCAGGTAAAGGAGGAACCTATGTGGTGCAATCCTGTTTGGCAGTCTAGGCATAAGGAATTGGACTAAGAGGGACCATCACGTTGCAATTTTTAAACGCAGCCATTAAAGAAATGTATGGGAGTAGGGATGTACGAGTAGTAAATTTTAGACTTGAAACGAACGGTGAAATGGTCAAATAATTTCGATAAGTTCGAGTAGTAGATATGACATGTTAAAATGAAAAATGCGCATTTCTGTGCTTTCAGGTTTTCGTTACCTTACGCAAACACTTGCCACCATTTTTCTTAAACGCTGCAGTTATTGTTTGATGGCCTGTGCTCATTTTCACAGAAAAGTAAAGGAAGAAAAGCAACATAGAGGTCTAGTAGTTAAAGAAAGGATACTAGACGTGTACACTGTTTTTAAGTGCACTACAACAACAAAGCAAGTGCCATGCCGGCTGCCATGTCACTTATGTGGTGCTGTGTCTCGTGCTGCGAAGATTTGTGCAATTCTGTACTGGTCGGCAGCGTGGCTGTCTAAGTGCGTGCTATCCAAATTTTGCAGTGTGCGTTCCAAGTTTCTTCACGTGGGAAGGATCCACTAAGTTTTTGTTCTTTTCAGGTGGAGATGGGTGGTGACCGGCTAGGTGCCTGCAATCTGCATGCTACTGTTTGTGGCGGGGGAACGGGTCTGTTCCTCCGGGTGCGGGACTGCAAGGTGCTACTTCTGGTGGGGCGTACCAAAGGTGAGTTTGTTGAGAAAGCACCACCGTATTGCTTTGCTTGCCAGTACTATTTAATTTAGCTATATAATATCTAGCCTGTACACATATAACTTTTCTTATGTGAAGCTATGCTAAATTATGAATTGTGAATTATGGTATGATAGTAGTCATGCGCTGTGCAATAAGCTGCATATTAAAGTCTGCCATACTTAACCTATATAAGGCCACATAAAATGCTTTTAAATGATAAGTAATGGAGACTAAATAGCTCTGCTAGTGTGGTTTTGTGCCTGTGAATCTGTGTGGAATGGGTAGTCTTAGAGTGACCTGCCCCATACTGTACTGAAACTACATTGTCAGGCGAGTTACTTGTGGTGACATACGTCTATACGTTCATTTCGAATACTTTGAAATATTGTAAATTTTTTATTCATGCCTATAGGAATTCAAATAAATCTATTGGACATACATTCGAGTAGACTTGGTCATGAAAATCTGGTAGTTGGCAGCAGTAGTAAATGATTTCTTAGCATAACACTCATGATACACTCTTTATCTATTCTCTTCAGTGGCAGTGGCAATGTTGACGTACAGAACTTGTTTATACTAGTTGTGTCATATTGTGGTCAAACGATACCAAGATACATCGCTCGTTCGATGAACTGAATCGTCTGCGCAGTCAGTATGTTTTGAATTAACCTTACTGTGCTGTGTTCGACTGTAATTGATCACTTTGATGAAGGCAGTACGATTTTTAATGGGTCGTTTAACGTGACGAGTTTCCAAATCAGCGTCAAAGCATCACTTTTTTTGAAAAGAATACAGTAGAATCTCGATGATACGATCACGGCTGATACGAAATTCGGGGTGATACGAATTTTTCATTAATCCTGGCCGAGGCCCATTAATTTACTATGTGCTAGAGTACGGTTGTTATGAACTGATTTTTTACCTGAGTTGTTTGATACGAACAAACGCAACCCCACCGACGGCCGCGAAAGCAAGAAGCGTGCACGCACGCGCTGAAATGCATGCTGCGCCGCCGGTTTGGCACGTTGTCAGCGCCACCTGCGAGCGGCGGGCGACAGACTCGAAGATCTGCGCGATCTCGAACGCCGAAGTGCGCCTTTTGCTTTATCTTGAAGGCTCCAGATGGCGCTGGCGACGGTAGAGGCTGACGAGAACGTTGTTAGCGACTGGCTCGCGAAGCTGGAGTCTCTTAGCTCGGGGTACGAGCCTCGTGATGTTTTTAATGCAGATGAGGCAGGCCTGTTTTTCAATCTTCAACCCGAGAAGAGCCTTTGCTTAAAAGGTGAAGCGTGCCAAGGAGGCAAAAGAAGGAAAGAAAGAATAACGGTTCTTCTGTGCTGTAACGCCAACGGGTCGGAAAAACTGAAGTTGACCATAGTTGGAAAATTTCAGAAGCCTCGGTGTTTCAAGCGTGAGAGCCATTTGCCATGCGTCTATCACGCAAACAAAAGAGCGTGGATGACGGCAGCCCTGTTCGAAGAATTTCTGTCTCTCCTTGACAGGAAAATGGCCTGCAAGAATCGGAAGATGGTTCTGATTCTTGACCAGTGCGCTGCCGACCCGAAGCAAGTCACGCTTCAAAACGTCAAGCTGGTTTTTTTGCCCGCTAACACGACGATGCACTTGCAACTGCTTGACGCCTGCATAATAAAAAACGTCAAGCATCATTTCAAGAGCCTTCTTGTGCACCGCCTCCTTGCCAAAATCGACAGAAAAGACGAAGGTGGCCTGCGAAATAAGCCTTTTGGATGCCATTCATTTTATCTCAATGGCTTGGGATAGAGTAACGCGGACTACCGTTGCGAACTGCTTTGGTAAATGCGGCTTCTTTAGGATTCCCGAAGAGGTGCCAGAGGCCCTTTCTGAGTCTGAGGAGCCCATTGAGGATTGGGAATGCCTTGATGCCGGGTGTTTGGCTGACGACTTTTGCTCGGCGGGTAACAATCTTGCCACTTGTGGTGCGCTCACTGTGGAAGATATTGTCAACGAGGTCACGTGTGAGGTTGCTGATTCCAGCGACGATGACGAGGAAATGGACAAGTGCGACGGCGAAGGACCACCACCGGCGGCTGAAACTCTGCACGCACTCGATGTCCTAAGGCGTGCTATGGCTGCTGAAGGAATCGGTGATGACACATGCACGCGTTTTTATGGATTTCAGAAAAGTCTGCTGAGTGACTTGGCAAAAAAAAAAAGAAGCAGAAAGACATCAGAGATTTTTTCTCAAAAAAAATTTTTTTTTTTTCGAGTGTCAAAAATGAGTTTGCCTTCCGACTCGGTGTTTATTTAGCTAGTTTTGCATGTGTTCCGATGATACGAATTTCGGCTATTACGAATATTTTTTGTGACCCCGCTGTGATTCGTATCATCGAGATTTTACTGTACAACCAAAGGCTAATTGTGCACGCACTAGGACCCAATTTTTTCATCCATTTTATATCGAAATTGAACATATATGACCTCAGAATAAGTAAATACCTAATTACAGTAAGTTTCTAAAACTCACAAAACAACAAATTAGTTCATTTGATTTATTTTAATGTAATAATTAGTGCCTTTCACTTATCTGTGAATTTGACATGTCAATAGAAAGTGGCATCATAATTGGCACCTGAAGCAGCTATTGTCCTAATTTTTTCCAGGATGCTACTTGCCACCCCCGTATGTCGACGAGTATGGCGAGACCGATGCAGGCCTGATGCGTGGCAACCCGTTGCACCTGTGCCCACGTCGTTACGAGCAGCTGCAACAGCTGTGGCTCTCTCACGGCATACCCGAGCAGGTGGCACACGCACTGGAGCAGTCGACCGGTCTTTCGTCAACCAACTGGACACTCATGTAAAGTGGCCAAGGCTGCGGCAACACCCTCTGCCCTTCGTGCCTCAGCTCGTCCCGAATCGCGCATACAAGGACGTGTAGTGTGCCTGCGAATGGGAAGTGGGCCAGCGTGAGGAGGTACGCCACGTCGGAACTTAATTCCATCTGCCCGCAATCGTGCTGCTGCACGGCACCTTGTTCAGTGTGTGGACGGAGGTGGTGATTTTATCACGTGCGGCACTTGAATGTTCATTGTGTGGCCACGTCAGGTGTACTTGTATGGCTCATCCGTGATGACATGCACTTGAATGTCCGGTGCGTTGAGGCGCGGTGGTTTAGTACTCTTGGACGGTCATTCGGCGGTCAGTGCCCCCATGTGTCGGTGCTGAATGAGTGCAGGCCGGATGCCTGGCGAAAGACCTTGTAAGTCGCAAGCTCAGCGAGAGGTGCAAGGAGCATCGACCACAGCACTTGATGTTCCCTTCGTCCGAGTGGTGTGTTTATAATAAGACTCGCAAACCAATAGCTTCTCCTGCCCTCCCCCTCTTTCCTGGGCCTTCCCAACCACGAGACTGATGTTACGGAAAATGTAAGCAGGCATGTGTCTAGTGTGCCTGGCGGGATATTTTTAACGTTGTCGGGTCCCCATTTTTTTTACGTTGTAGAAATGCGCATTTTTGTCCAATCGACGGAATGGCTACCCGCAATGCGAAAGAGGCGCACACTGCCCCTGACGTGTGCAGCGCAAGGCTAGGCCCTTGTGCTGTTAAGGAAAAGGGGCACAGCTTTGCCCACAGTCGCGTTTCTCATGTGGACGATAAAGCGCACTTTCGCAAATCTGAGCGATCCAAGGGAGAAAGCTTTTACTGGCAGTGGTGCCTGCACTTAGTTAGCCAAGGATGCTCAAGTGTTGACTTTTTTTTGACAAGTCTCGAGAGCCTCGCTGTCCAGGGAGGTCTATGAAACTAACGAGTTTAGGCTATTTCTGGCATGACATCGTGGCACCAGTTTGAATGTGCCGAGTATGGAGTTTGAGTATGCTGAGTAGTACAGAGTGTTGCTGCAAGCTGCCGTGTGTCAGCCACGAGTTTGAACTCTCTGAACAGGAGAGTTGATTTGTGCTTGCGCCAACGGGAGCTTGCCTCTAGTTTTCTTTTCTTGTGCTGCTTGGCAGTGACTGGAGGCAGCAGCTTATGAATGGGCATCTGGTAGCGCAAATGAGTCGCAGCAGAGGTAAAAGGCCATGTGAGAGAATTCACTTTGAACGCATTTTCAGGGAATGATCTGGAAGATGTGTTGTGTCACTTATTTTAGTGGCTGCAGGTTAGCTTCGCTAATGGAATTTAAGGTGTCCTAGAATGTGTCTTTTTTTCATATTGGGTCTGATAGTTGGCCAAGAATGGACGTTAGAGCAACCAGGGTCTGTAGTTTGCATCTTTGCGTTAATCTTTATTTCTGCCGGCAGGCAAGCTGATGTATACTTCCCGTATTCTCGAGATTCGTAACATTGACCAATTGCTTATAGAGTGCAGTATTCCAGTGGTGTATCCATTAGTAGTTCGGTTGCATCGATTTAATTTCAGTGGGAGTCAATGACTTGTAGGGAGTTTTTGAGCAATTCACTGTTATCGCAGTCATCTAAATATGGCAGGCAAATATCAATCGTCACACCTTTGTTGTATGATTTGGCGGAAACGTTATAGCTTTTAGAGTGCTGTTTTATAGCCAATCCTCCACTGCATTAAATTTCGTGTCTCATTGATTAACGTCAAGGGCGCAATGACCATACTACAGACTAAACTTCGTGATGATATCGGATATGCAAAATATTTGCTTACTACGCATGCGGTTAAAACGCACTGCAAGGCAGGTATGGCACATAGCAGTTTACCGATGTGCCATGTAGTATCCTTAGCATCTGCACGTATTGATGTGTGGTACATAGAAATGATCTGTAATGTGTGTCCAGACTCGCATATTTGTGCTGGTTGAAGTAGTGTGGCGCACTTATGTAATAAGTTTTCTAATTTGCTCAAATGGATGCTTGTTTTAAGTTTGTTTTGAGGATGTACTATACATATTTTTAAGTATTTTCGAACTTAAAGGTTTACGAGTGATTTTTATCATGCCAAGACAAACTGCCGGTGCTCACAATCTGTGCAATCCCTTTTGATTTTGATCTTAAATGCTCAAGTTTACTTTTTTGTTACAGAGATTTGGGATAATTAGTAATTGGGGAGCGTAAAAAAAATAGGGACTTGGAGAATGCTAGGAGGGAGTTTCATGCTGAGGTAGGAGAATGCTAACTACCGGTCACTCAAAAGAATGCGAGTGGAGTACGGGACTTTGTCTGTCTGACTGAATTATTTCTGTATCTTCTTATGGCTGAAAACAGTGAAAAGAAAGCACAAAACTACGTGGCAGGAGCACAACTGAATTTAGTATTTCTAAGGAATGCAATCCCACTGGGGGAAACTATTTGCAGGCTATCCATTTCAGACTGTTTTTTGCCTTTTCTCTCTTTTTCTTAATACGTGAAAGTGCAGAATCGGGTATACGAAAGCTTTTTGCAGGCTTGCTCTAATAAGGGATCTTATGAATTGTTTGAAACATTGACATGGCAGAACAGATCTCTCGAATGCATACGCTTTTACCCTGCAACGCGAAATTTCGTTTCGCATCGCTTAGTTTAGGCTTTGCCCAAGAATGATCGGTTTAAACAAGCATTTCAGCAGTGCTTTAAAAGGCCTTTGCGCAAGTTTGTCTGCAGTCTAAAATGCTGCTCCTTCATTTCCAGGCGGTTGACTTCCTATTCTTTCCACGTGTTATGTTGAAAAAGCGACACGTTTCCAGCTTCTGTGCTCTAACGCTGTGCCCACCAAAAAAATCATTGGCTTAAGTACTGTGATTCTTTACAAGAGGGTTCCATTACTGAGACACAAGTTCAGAGAGCGTATCCTATTCGTAATGGATCCCAAATTTTTATCATATTCATATGAATACTCAGGCAGCTGCTGATGTAAGCTTGCATTTCTGGTATGTGAGGAGCTTTCAGAGTCAGGTTGATATTGGAAGTCACAACATACATTTCTTTCAGAAGGCCCACTCGCTCACCTTACTTGAATAGCTGCGGTCCATTTTCCTCAATGCCACTTTCGAGATGTCAGACGACTCCCATATAGATAGAGACAGTGTTCATATCAAAGGGTTCTTTCCTCATCACTGTTCAAACTTCTGCCAGAGCTGCGAATTCTCCAGAATATGCATATGAGAGGGAGGCTTTGTGGGTGTTCAGAAAACATAGGCTGCTGTGGACAGGCTTGAGGGGGGCGGAGGAGGAGGGTGCAGGAGGTGGCTCATTTTCTAAATTCTTTGCGTGCCTTGCGGGAGGTTGGGCCACACTTCGCCGTCAACGTGCGTTCTTGTGATCACCGTTTGTGAGGATGCTACTTGTGTTTTTTTCTGTGTCCGAGACGATGCGAGTGACAAATTTGGTTGCATTTAATAAAAGAATGCTATGTTTGGGACTGTTCTTTCTTTATGATATTGCTAATGTGTTATTCATCAAGAGGAGCAGAGGGACATGGCCCCTTTGCCTTCTTTCTGGGTGATAATGTTTCAAAGGTTCACTTGTGTAACACGATTGATCACATAATTGTGCAAAACGGTAGCAAGCGACAAATCTGCCCTTCTGAAGCATTACAACTACACACATGCACCGACAAGATTAAAATTTCTGTTAGATGTGGGCACTTCATTGTGGATTGGATGTGGGCACTCCTATGTGGTTGGCAGCCAGAGGTGTTGGTAGAAATTTTTGTGGGGAGGGTGGGGACAGCTCTTAAAATGGTCATTCTTTGTTCTCTATTCCACGGCAAAAAAAAAAAAAAAACTTGGGGAGGGGGCACATTGGTACAGTGTGCCACCCCCTGGCTACGCAAGTGGTGGAAGCGCCATACCAAGTCATGTATACTGATGCCATTCAAAGCTGGCTTAAATATTTAAGTGGGATAGCCTAAAAAGCTCTTTCGCAAAAATTTCGGTGGTGTTGTTGGTTGTGAGCAAAAAGCCTAGAAAGATGGAAATAAAATAAGAATTTTTCAGGTCAGAGTGTGGATCCAACCCAGGCCGTCTGTGTGGAGAGCAGGTGTTCTACCAGAAAGACATGAGACTTTTCTTTTTTATTTACGACAGTCGCGGGATTGAATCCCGGCTGCGGCGGCTGCATTTCCGATGGAGGCGGAAATGTTGTAGGCCTGTCTGCTCAGATTCGGGCGCACATTATAGAACCCCAGGTAGTCAAAATTTTCGAAGCCCTCCACTAACGGCGTCTCTCATAATCGTATGGTGGTTTTGGGACGTTAAAACCCACATATCAATCATCATCAAACAATACACAACAAACATGATGCAACAAACGCTACCACTGCCATCAAGCACTGGTAAAGGACGTAAAGCCTTAAAATTACACTGTAGTAAGCAAGGCTGTTACCCTTTTTAACAATGAAGGAACACATTCATTTGTTCTTACTACCTGGACAAACCTTGCTATACTGACTTTCTGGTTTCCTGTCGGGGTTGCAGGATTTTACAAAGCCATAAGACTTGTTGAACATGTTAAAAAAAAAAACTATATCAATGTCGTGTAGTCGAAGCACCATATGTTGCGTAGATTCGTGCCAGGCGTCAAAAGAAGTGAATTGAGCAAGGATGTGGCCCACCGATCACTGAGTGCTAGGACATAACTAATCATAATCGGCAGCAGGACCATCAATTAGGTGAACAGCTGCGTAGGTTTGCGTAGTTGCCCTGGGAGACGTAGTGGGCCCTTTGCTGATTCGCAAAAGGAATTATGGTGTAGTGGAGACTTGACTGTGCTTACAAATAGGCATCTAATGATATTTTGAAACGGCCACTGTTGTTCGTTTGAAACGGCCAATGTTACGCGCACTGTTGTTCGTTTTCTTACAGCACAGTTTAGTCATTGGGGTCCCGACGTTGAAGTCGCCCGCTGCGCGCTAGGGTGCGTCCCGCAGGACCTGATAAAAGTTCCAACCAACCAAAGGTTGATGCATGCACTGAGAATCGAAGCAGGTTAGCAGTTCAGAAAACCAGATTACGTTAGACACAAGGCCAGATTACGTTATCGGGACCTACTCTTGAAGGCGAAGCTCGCACGTTCTCCCAATTCCAGCCATGTTGCTGTTCAGGCAACATATTTGCACAGCAAGTGTTTGAGATACAGATACAAAAAATACTGGAGTCATTATATCTGATATGATGCTTTCCGTCGGTATCTTAAAGAGACTGATGCATCTTTTGAAAGCGTTTTAGGGGCGAAGCTCCTCTTATTCTAACCTTGTCATGTGTCACGCGTAACCGAGAGAAGCAGAGACGAGAAAGAAAAGAAAGCAGTATCTCCCGACCGGTATAATAGACGGTGCAGTCTCATAGAAGTACATACAAACTGCAGTTGAGTGAGGATATTCTAGATGGCGCTGTACCACCACCTGCTGCGCGGGCTGTGCCTGGGTACGCAGGAGAACGAGCGCCTCTCTCAATCTCCTGGATAGTCGCGGTACGTGGCTGATCGTTGGTGGGGCATGGATGAAGAAGAGCGACGGGCAGTATTGGGCGGACGCATTGAAGACGCTTGAGCTCGGCTTACTTGGCTCGCGTCTCATCGATGTTACCCGTGCGCCGTCTGCATACTTGAACGTGATCGGACTCATGGACGCATGCATGGACGGACGCTTCGCCCCGCTCATCATCATTACACTCCGTGGTGCTGTGCTTTTTTTATTTTAGTATTGCGGGGAGAAAATGAGGCAATATGGCGAAGCTTTGCTTCTTAGACTTTCGAGGGCTGCTGTGGTCAATTTTTGTTTTTTGTTTTTCCAGAATGATGCTTGTTGAGCATAGTTTTGCTGCAAGAACTATGACCTGACACAAATGACGGCATAGAATTAAACTTTATTTTGTGACCAGGCACGCGTTTTCTTCGCCCGAAGATGGGTGACTTCCTCATTCCAGTTAGCCATGGCTAGCCACCGGCGCCTGAGCCCTTTCCACCAGCTGGAGCTGGTCCTCGGAGGGGGGGGGGGGGGTACCCTTGTGAGCAATGCCTCCCACTGGTCTTCTACTATAGTTGCTTGTCGGCTCTGTTCACCATGAGCGGAATACTCGGATTGTTTCGACAGCTCCATACCACGTGGTACAAGGTGTTTGCAGAGTCCGGGCAGTACTGACAGTTCCTGCTGTAATTGCCGGGGCACATTGCGTGTAGTACCATGCGGATAGCTACACTACTTCGCCTGCCTGTAGCCTTCTCCAGGTCACCGCTCATGGGTCTCTACTCGGCCTTTTGTTAGCAGGTGGATAGAGGCGTCGATGCTTCCGGTAGTGCGCACGTAGGTCGATGGCTCCTATGCCTTTCCAAAAAAGTATCGGTGTAGAGAAGTCCAGTATATATAGGTCCGTTCGATTCACCTGCACCAGTCGGAACCGGTTCACGGCTGTGCACGCGAAGTTCAGAAATTGTGCAGCGTGAGTTCAGTGGTGCAGGCACAGCACGTCACCCGAAACAAATGACGATGTGCCGACAAGGTGTTGGCCTTATTTCTTTTCGGCTAATTAACACCATTCAGCAAACACCGACCTATGGCGAAACGCACATGCGGACAGTTTATGAGGTGCAAACATCCTGGCAAAACACATCGCATTTGTAGCGGTGGGTACGGAGCCTAAGCCACCTACGTCTAAGTGCTGCGCCGTCTGCTCAGCTGCACGCGTGCCTGCACCAAGCCGGCACCGTCAGCGAAGGAGGTGCAGGAAAATTGTGAACTGGTGCTGCACCTTTTCTGCACCTTTCGAAACGAATGGTAAGGTGCAGCACCTCGTGAACTGGTTCACGTGATGCAGGCGAATCGAACGGACCTTATATATATATATATATATATATATATATATATATATATATATATATATATATATATATATATATATATATATATATATATATATATATATATATATATATATATATATATATATATATATATATATATATATATATATATATATATATATCTTAGCTTGTTTTGCCGCACTCGAAACGTTAGTTTCGGTTTCTCTGGCACCGTGGCCTGGAAATTCGACAATGGATCTCTGAAACCACGCGTGATATTTTCAATTTTTAAAAACAAGGCTCGCCGTAATTTGTTACGTAGAAGAACTGCATTATAAACAACCTCCCCGAAACTGATAATCCAATTATTGTTATCAATTACTCATTTACAAGCGATCTAATTAGTGACAAAATGTTTCCGCCTGGCCTGAAAATTAGCAGCGAAGACGACAAGTGTCTACCTGTTATAGTTTCTAAAAAAAACATGTGCGTTGCTTTAAAAAAAACACCTTGTATATGCCATGATTAGCTTGTTACTACCAATCATTTATGTTCATCATAAAGTCCAGCCGTGCAATACCCTACTCTGGTGTACGTACATCAAGCTGGTGAACTGGCCGCGAGCGCACCGTGAGCATGTCATGCAAGTAATGCGCCGTACATGTAATGCTTTTCACTATTGTCACCTTACCACCCGTAATTTATGTTCTTCATACAAGTCCCGTCACGCAATACCGATTTTGGTGTACGTCAAGCTAGCGAACCGGTCGCGTGCGACCTTGCAGATGATGGTGTACATGAGGTGATGTACATGAGGTGATGATGTACATGATGCGCATGTCATGATTGTCATGCCTGTCATTTATGTTAGTCATACAGAAATGTCTAGTCATGCAAATTTTGGTATATACTTTTTTTAAATAAACGGTGACGAGAGCCACGGGATTAGATCATGTAAATGGTGCTTTTGATTTGCGTGTCATAATTTGGTCGTTAAAGACTGGTCACTTATGTTTCTCATACACTCTTTTCGCCAAGCTAGATAAAAACAGCCGCTAGATGAAAACGTCAAGCTAGATAAAAACAGCCGCGAGCGTTCCATGGGCAAAGCATGTAAGTCATGCCATTCATCACATACATATTATGATGGTCATGTTACTGCCAATCATTTTTCCTGATAAAGTCACGTGCCCCAAAGCGAAACTTTGTATATGTCATATCTTGAGAAACAGCCGCGAGCGCACCATTTATACGGTATGCATATGATGCCATACATGACATTTATATCATGTTTGTGTGCTACTACCTGTCATTTATGTTAGTCGTACAGAAATGTCTCGTATTGCCGATTTCGGTATATAGCTGCTTAATTAGCAACCGCGAGAGCCCTGAAATGATGCCAGATAAGTAATGCCGTACATCACGTGCGTGTTCCAATTTGCAGGTTGGGATCTGTCACTCCAATGTTAGCCATACTTGTCAACTCACGCCACCTTTGGTATCATACAAGATCCCCAATGCTATGGCATGTAAATTATGTCGTTGAAGACATGTTACGCCAAACCAACATTGCCGTTCTCATATTCACCGATTTTGATAAAACTTTCAGCATATCTTCTTCTCAGCATCCTGCC